GAAGCCTTCAGCTAAACAAGTCGGCTTAAACAGTTAGGGTCAGCATCTGATGTTCAGTGATGATTGCTGTGGTCAATAATTTTGGAGAATTATTTACCGCTACAAGGTAGTTTGTCATTACTTTCGACCGTCGAATAAACCCTGGTGTGGTCTGTGAAAAAGTCGGAAATTTAAGTCTCTTCCAATATCCTTAGCGTCTATTTCTCTGTTCAATTTTCTGGAATTTCTTCAAAAAGATTCACATGCTGTTGGAATGATGATTAATAATACTCAGATTCGCAAACAGAGTTGTTATTGATCTAAACTTGTTGCTAGAATTGGTTATAGCATGTCCCCCTTCTGGGACTTCGAGTAATAAACTGGATTTTGGCTAAGAGATGTTACACGCAAGGCAACAGCCACAACCAACGGAAAGGAAGAAGACGAAGAGACGAGAGGGAGATGTTTATTTCAACCACGCCAGGCTTGAATTAACCGGGCACAAAGCTAATTATCATCATTTATAACAAGTCTGGACAAACGATCTTCCTCCTGTTCCAGTGAGGCCACGTCAGCGTTTCTTTCTGAAAAAAGGAGAAAAAGAAACTTATTTAGTGGCATTATGGTGGTTTTTATTTCATTACATCGCCTCCTCCCTTTTGGAGGCACTGTCCTCAGTGCCTGGTGGTGGTATAGGATGTGCACTGCCTCCATCTGTTGTACCTCAACGAAACTAGTAGCGGGCGGCGGTTGCGGGGATGGCGACGGCTTCTGGACGGCTGCTGGGTGATGTGGTTTCGGCTGGTTATAGTGTGCGGATATAAGGTTATCTTGAGGATGTCGCAAATTTCGCAGGACATACGTTGTGGGAGGTCGGTGCTGTACGATCTCATAAGGTCCTTGCCACGGGGCGTAGAATTTAGGACACGAACCGGCAGGTACGGATGGGCGATGAAGCCAGACAAGGTCACCAGGCGAATAAGTGGGGCCGCGGGGTGAAGCGGTCATGAATACTCTTCTGGTGTTCTGGCGAAGACTGGAGATGACGACGTGCCAGGTTGTAGGATATCCCCAGGTGGTGGCGAAGATGTTGGACATAGGGGATGCAGTCGATTTTCTCATACGGTAGCAGCGGCGTTTGGATCTCAACTGGGAGGCGGAGTTCATGCCCAAACAGAAGCAAAGCTGGGGAAAATCCCGTGGATGAATGGATGGAGGAGCGACACGCTAGTAGACACTGAGGTAGGACATCGTCCCAGGTGTTCTCCGGTGTATTGTGCAAAAAGGCACGGAGAAGATTCTTAATAGTCCGGTTAGTGCGTTCGACAAGTCCATTACCCTGTGGGTGGAATGATGTAGTACGAGTCTTCCGGATGCCAAAAGTATTGCAGATGTGAGCGATAAGATGACTCTCGAATGCGGCGCCCTGGTCAGAGTGTGGATAAAGAGGGGCACCAAAGCGGGACACCCAGTTGTCTAGGCATCTTGTTGTTGCAGGGGGACAGCTTCGCACCACTTCGTGAAGTAGTCGACCATGACGAGTATGTATCGATTACCACGTCTCGACGTTGTTATTGGCCCCATAACATCTACCCCAACTCGGTGGTTGGAAGCTTCCGTAAGCATAGGTACTAACGGTGCTCGGGAAGGTAGTTTGGGCTGTGTTATTTGTGCACATGTAGCACAGTTGCGGCAGAATTCACTAACGTCGTGATGAAGAAGTGGCTACCAAAAACGTTGACGGACGGTGTGTTCGGTTTTTTGTTGGCCAGCGTGACCCAGCTGGTGGTGCACAAGGTGAATCACCTCCGGAACTTTCAACCGGGGAACAAGAAGACGGGGTGACGAGGATGCTTCCACTATATAAAAACATCGTCGATTAGTCGTAGCACGCCCCACTTGCCACAGATCCATCGTGTTGTGTCTGACAGACTCCGTAGTTCCTTATTCGATGGTTTATCGTTCCCATGGAGCTGTCGCGAGTAAACAGGTTGAATATCTGTATCAGCCGCCTGCAGTGCAGCCCAATCCACATCGATACCCGTATTAAGTAAAGCATTCACTGAATCGTACGTCGGCAATCGGGAGAGGGCATCAGCGTTAGCATGCCGAGGCCCCGGACGATACTCACAAGTAAACTCGAACTCCTGTAACCGCTCTTGCCATCGAGCCACCTGACCTTCAGGTTCATGAAATGTTTGCAGCCATTGTAATGCACGATGGTCAGTGCGTACTCGAAAGGGGCGCCCAAGTAGATAGTGTCTAAAGTGTCTCAGAAAATACTCAAGGGTAAGCATCTCCCTTCGGGTTGTCGAGTACCGTGTTTCCCATTTATCTAGCTTGCGACTGGCATATGCAAAAACGCGTTCTCGACCATCGGTTGCCACTTGGGAAAGGACAGCCCCTATAGCGCTAGCGCTTGCGTCCGTGTCCAGAATAAATGAACCAAATGACGGAGACGTCTCTGGGAACGCAAGGATGGGGGTTGACGTCAAGTTCGTCTTTAGCTTGTCGAACGCATGTTGGCATTCATTGGTCCACAGGAATTTGCGGCCCTTTTCTGTCAGGCGATGCAGGGGCGAGGCTAGGGTGGCAAACCCAGGGACGAAACGTCGGTAGTACGAAGCCGACCCTAGGAAGCTACGAACGTCTACAGACCTGGGGTGTAGGCCATTCTGAGATGAGGCGCGTTTTCTCTGGGTCTGTTTGAATGCCATCTGGTGAAATTCGATGCCCCAAAAATGTGATTGCTCTCTGTAAGAATGAACATTTAGCCGGCTTCAACTTTAAACCATTCGTTCTAAACCTTGTAAGAACAACCCGTAGGTTATCCATGTGCTCCTCTGGGTACTTCCCATGTACAATAATGTCGTCAAGATAGATGAGACATTTGTGCGGGACTAACCTGTCAAGGACTATTTGCATCAAGCGTTGAAATGTGGCGGGGGCATTGCATAGTCCGAAGGGCATTGTTCGGAATTCGTAGAGACCACTCGGGAAGATAAAGGCCATCTTCGGGCAATCGTCAGGGTGCACCTCTACCTGCCAGTAGCCTGACGCCAGATCTAACGTGGAGAACCACTGTGAGCCAGCAAGTGCGTCAAGGGTTGCATCGATACGGGGAATCGGGAAAGCGTCCCGTCTGGTTATAGCATTCAGTTTACGGTAGTCAATACACATTCGGAGGGAGCAGCCCTTCGTCTTGACTAAAACGATGGGTGACGCCCATGGGGAGGATGATGGTACGATGATCTTTTTATCCAACATATCTCGTATCAGGGCGTCCAGTTGGGGCTGGTAATGCACAGGGATCCGTCGGGGTGGTTGACGCACAGGCGGATGACTGCCCGTATCGATACGGTGCTGAACAACACCAGTGCGTCCCGGATTACCCCCATCATCGAACACATCAGCGTATTCATCAATCAATTTCAGCATTTGCCCTCGGAGGGGAGCAGGAGCAGATGGATCAACTGAAACTTGATTTATGATGGCAGACACTGATAGCTTTGACGCGGCAGACCGCGGTTGCTGAGGGCTATATAAGGGTATAGTGACAGAATCAATTGTGACTCGAGAATGGGTGATATCTATAAGAGTGTGGTGTGACATCAGGAAGTCTACCCCTAGGATGAGGTCCCATGTAATCTGGGCGCAGATAAGAAACTGATGGCGCACATCTAGGTCTCCAAGGTGCAGCTGTAGATCGGTAGCAGATCGGGCCTCCAGTTTAGCACCGTTAGCTGTCGTCAAGATGTTGTAAGTGGTTACTGGGGGTGAGTACTGGGGCAAGCGTCGAAGGAAGGAAGCCTTTACTAGAGAAACCGACGCGCCAGTATCTAAGAGGACTTTAGAGGGCACTCCATTAATATGTCCCCATAACATCAAAGGTTGCCGGGTACAAGAGTATGTAGACAAATTAAAAACAGGGGACTTACTGCGATCCGGCTGGCGATTGTGACCACACTTACGGGCCTTCTTCCCGAAACGTTGACAATAGTAGCAGCGACGGGTAGCGTCCCCATTTGAGCGTCGTTGGCTTCTTGAACGGTCGCGGCGAACGGGGGTCACGGCAGGTGCATTGGGTTTTGTTGATACCGGGCACATAGAGGTGCTGGGTGTCGACACGTGGTCGTTCTCGGCGTCCATGAAACGAAGAATAATCTTCTTTAACTTGGATGTGTTGGCCGGGAGCTGACGTCGGAGGTTTGTGCGCAGGTCACCAGGCATCATTCCCTCGACGAAGCGGGTGCATACCAATTGGTCTTTGCTGCCAGGGCTATCGTGATTGTCAAGTCCAGCTGCCAGTAGCTGGAGAGCGTTAAGATATTCCAGGAAACTCTCTCCTGGTAGTTGTCGGCGGGAGAGCAGTTGTAATAGGGTATGTTGAGAACCCAGCCTCAGGTCAAAACATTGATCTAGAATCTCCCAGTTCGTTTGCATGGAGTTGGTTTTACTGAACCCAGCAGCGTGTGCACGGGCGAATGCATCCTCTGATAGGTTGTTGAGGACGTGGACGAAATGGTGGGCTTCTGGGGCAACGTCCAGGAACGCCTGCATTCGTGTCTTCCAGCGAGGATAATCTGATGATGGTTGCAGCAGTGGTGGGCGGGAAAGCGGTGGTACACTAGGCAATGATGAAGCACTATCCTGAGGAAACAACTTGGGAGGCTGGTCCTCTGGTCGATTTGCCATGTTAAGTGTAGATATCCCACCTCCGACACCAATTTGTTACACGCAAGGCAACAGCCACAACCAACGGAAAGGAAGAAGACGAAGAGACGAGAGGGAGATGTTTATTTCAACCACGCCAGGCTTGAATTAACCGGGCACAAAGCTAATTATCATCATTTATAACAAGTCTGGACAAACGATCTTCCTCCTGTTCCAGTGAGGCCACGTCAGCGTTTCTTTCTGAAAAAAGGAGAAAAAGAAACTTATTTAGTGGCATTATGGTGGTTTTTATTTCATTACAGAAACATATTTTCAAGTTTTTAAATGGAACCAGCAGCCTGTTATTTCAAAAGCAGCACGTTTGGACATTGAGCAATGCAAACCTATTTGGCGGGAGTACTTTCTGCTCTTGATCTCCGAGTTTGAGTTTATCGCAGGGTATTTATTTCTAATTGTATAATTCTAGACCTGTTTTACATGCATTGTTTGCACTTTTTTCTTTTTTTGGCAATAGAATCTGGGGTAGTTTATCCCCACTGGCACTAACTAGGACGTCCTAGAACAGTCATGCATGTACAACTGTAGTGTGATGGGAACATAAACCAGCCGACGTTAATGAAGTCATTTGATTACCGCTGCATGTTGAGTATTAAAATTAGATAGGTAACAGGAAAGGGCCTAGTTAAAGAGTGAACACACCAATGAGCACCTAGCGCTCAGTCGAACTAAGGTAGTGAGACCAGGTGAAAAAACATATTCACAGGATAATACTGAAAAAGAACAGGACGATTGGAGAAGATTGTTTTGTATTCTCATTTTGGCATTTAGAGCCTAGGATATTTTCGATAACTTACTGATATGGCTCTTTAATTGTATGTGCATTTAATATTTAAAGGATAATTGTTATTGATAATATTTATGCTTTTTCAGTAATACAGAGTTGTTAACACCAGTGGAATTGCAGTCCAAAAGCCTTTTGAAGCAGTAAAAATGATTAGAATGTAACTTTAGATTAAATATCAGGTAAAATTAAGGAAACTTGCCGGACATTTAAAGGAGGTTAAAAGTGGTGGCCAAGGTAGGGAAAGCGTCTGAACGAACTTCTGAACGCATAATTTGAACTTCTTAAAGTAGATTCCAATGGCTTCGTCTATATTCAGAAAACGAACTCGTAAGGTGAAACAGATTAATAGGAATACGGTAGGAAACATTAAGAACCTTGCTAACATCGACATTTGTGAGCTGAGATAGACCTGCCAATAGACCTTGTCTGTCCCTGGCTTAATCACGCAGGATGTTTAGAAAGCTGACGATGAACATGCCTAATTGGACGTGGGAGCAGTCAAACTGAGTACATCTAATTGCTCATGATACAATTAATAATAATAATAATAATAATAATGGCTTTATTCCAAACAGTATTTGTGGTACAGGTATGGAATTTTCAGCGTTCATTACAATATTGCATCTAATTACCTCATAAATTTTATAAGGATTTAGAAATATAAAGCAACAACAACAAAAAGAAAAAGAGAAATAAAATAAATAAAATAAAAAAGAACAGCATTGCATTCACATATTTAAACAGTGCACCACAGGATACGATATATAAAATTAGTCTGTAATAGAATATATGAGCAGCAATATAATAGTAACAAAGAAAGGAGAACAAAAGCTAATACTACATCACTGTGTTCAATCAGATAAATTCATATACTATGAAATTGTATTTGACCACAGTACCTAAATTCTACGCTTACATTAATGAGCAGTCAGTTAAGATTATTGTGGTTTGTCGGTTGGAGTTTAACTTTTGGGGTATAATGAAAGAATTTTTTCATACAGTATTGGTGCACGTGTATTATTCTTGTGTAATTTGTTATTAAAATATATCACACATTATGTACAGTTCAACAGTGGCTCTGAACTTGATTTGAGTTCTACACCAAATTTTTCTGGCTTTTTGCAGTCTGTATACAACCGGTCCCCTTGATTAGTTTGAAAAAAGAAAGAACGAACATGTGTAACACGTTCTACATCCATCCACATCAAACGTAATAGATTTTATAAACGGACTTATTTACATAAGGTACCATGCTTACCTTGCTGAAGGGAATTTCAACACATGTCGTTTACGTCACTAGCATAGTGATGACTAAACACGTCTCTTTTCGTAGTGATTCTCTCATGACTATTTGTATCTGGGTCATTGTCAAAAGGTGCAAACCATTGGTAACATTGCCAAGATGTCATATTATGCTGCCTGCCTGCACCCGCCTTTACACCTAAGTTGGTGCGATTTCGGAAGTTATTGAATAAATCAATACACTCAGACATGTAAATTTCTATTATCACCTAGTTGCGTTTTTAAGAAACACATCAAAAAATTCCATAATAGTCATCTAATGTCTTCATAAGATTGTATTTTGTGAATCCATCTATCAAAACCCTAATTGTATCGAGTTCTTCGATCTAAAAAGGTAGTCTGCATATTCAAAACCGAGTTGTCAAATGCCTATACCTACCAGGTTGGTAGCGCTTCTCCAAGCCTCAAACCATGGCTATGGGATAATTTCCTTTTTGAGGTATTCTAAGTAGTATTATTCTAACGGCCAATAGATGTTAACTATCAGCTTCCCATTTGTCACATTAAGATTGATCTGGTAGGGTCAAGAAAATATCACCTAATATAGGCAATGTAGAACTTCTTTCATCTAAATATTTCTTGTCTGTTTTGTCCTTGAAAACGAAGTGGTAGTACACAAAAAAGCACTGTTAGCGAGTAACTGTTGCGTCATCCTTTACGTTCCGAATGCAACATAGGGTTTCAGGCTAAAGCTTTAAAGTTTCAGTAGCACTGGAGCTTTTCTGTGGGGTATGGTTGCTAGCCTCACGCCCAATCTCCGCTCTTTGCCCATCTTAGCGACGTTTTTAAGAGTGTGCCGGCCGACAATGAAACTCCGACCGACGTGCGTGGTTGGGGAACCTTCTACCGCTGAATCGCCGGTGCATATAGAAAAGAGGATGGTTTCCAAACGCCAATCGGGCTGTCACGTGATCACCGTTCGCAGGCTCTATCCCGCTAGCGCACTTCGCGGGGACTTTCGCCTGCTGGGTTTCTCCCCTAGGGCCGGTCCGCGCCTCCTTAGTCGACCTGGACAACCCGTCCTCCGACATGTCGTCCAAATCGGCGCCGTGCTTAGCCTAGACGCCCGAACAGCATAAGCACCCATATATCGGAACTCTCGGTCCAGCGAAATTCCGCTTCCTGGCCTCCGAGTAGGTAGATTACAGGCGTACACCACCACGCCCAGCCGAAAACTGTCTAGCAGCAGTTATTTAACTGTTAATAAAGAGAAAAGAATGAGCAGTAAAAACACCAGGATTTTTTCTAGCTTTTTCTAAAACTTATACTTTCCTAGAATATACACGTAGCGGAATTAACACGCTACTTAGTATGTTAAAAATCAAATGAAATAAGCTTAAACAAGCTTTGTAAGCTTAAAAGTAAATTGAGTTTTCTTTGTTACCACCCTTCTTATGAATCGCAAGGCAGTCGTAAAGGAGGTATGTTCTATTCCTTAGGCAAATACATATGTTGGGGGAAAATATAGTACATTTCCAGTATCAGCAATTCATACATTTATGTTGATCAGCCTGTATGTGTGAAAAACTTCCTATTTTCTTTAGAAAATTGTTTTTATTTTGTTCATCTTCACTTTGTGCTGCATAATTAATCGTTTGTTTCAATATCTTTGTTATTTATTTTAGAGCTGACAAATGAGTGCTCCTAACATACCCAACAATACAATCAGGCATAATTTATTTGATGTATATCGTCCTGATTACCCTGTCACTGTTCCCATTATCTCCCAAGCACCAACGCTAGGCAGTGCTCCCAGAAATGTATTTACCACATACTCTTCAAATCCACAATCCAGAAGTGTACAAAAATCCACTGGTAAGAAAAGAAAAATAATTTAACCACTTATCATCGAATTTACTTTGTTCTATTTTTCTTCTTCTTCTTCTTTAGTCAATAATTCAATGTCAAACTTTTCCCTAGTCACTACAAGTAATATTACCCAACAGAATGCTAACAATACGGCCAATCATCCAACCTTCAATAATCTCTTTCAATCACTTTTAAGTGCGTCAACTTCTCAACAGGCGTCTATGCCGCCTGCTAATGTAACAGGTTATGTGAATACAATAGCATCAGGGCAAAATGGAAATTTATTCACTAGTTTTCGACCTGCACAGTTAACTTATCAGTCAAATAATATACGTATCACTTTGCCTACAAGTGTTTCACTTGTATCTCCTCATGTCACAGTGAATTCAAATGCTTTAAGATCATCAAATCCTACTTCATCACATAATAATATGAATAATGGGACACAAAGTACAATAACAACTACAGCAGCAACAGCAACAACGACAACAAAAACAACAACTGCAACCACGACTGGTCGATTTAGCAAAGCAATGTCTACAGAATCATTGTTTGTTTCAACTAATCTTATTCCATGCAATGGGATGAAGAAGTTAGGCGCTATGACATTTCTTCGATGGGCAGCAGGTTTGTAATATCTCGTAGTTTCTTTGGTTTTGTTTTTTGAACTGTCAGTTGCTATTAACGTAAAAAAGGCTACCTGCATTCTGGCATTTGTGTGTGTTCAGTGGTATAATACAGTGAGTAATATTGAGGTTAGGCGTCAAGTGTGTTAGGTAAGTAAGGGAAATCAATCAATGAGGTTGTGAAGTTACATGGATTGAGATGGTTAGGACATCTGTTACGCATGCCTAGTCAACACCTTCCTCGACAATGGGCAATGTTAGCTGACTGACATAGGATGGATCATCAGGCTGGAAAAGAGTTAGCTAGTGGTGATGGTCAAACGAAAAGATGGCTTCATCAGTCAATGGAATCCACAACAGTTAGTTTAAGCCAGCCAGCCACGTAGGAAGGTGTGCACTTCCTGTTTGTGTCCTCGGAGCGGTAAACACCAATAGACGATGGAGACAATCGGTGATATGGCTCAAAGTGATCGTTGTCAATGACAGCGCAGATGCATCCACTCCTTGTGACTCATAATACCCAATAAAACTATATTTTTATTCGATATTGTTATTCTTTTTGCCTCATATCTCTGTTTACTGTCTCTATTTTTCATTCCCTTTTACTTTCTTCTCTTGCTTTGTGTGCTACAAGGAGAGAGTGTGGTGACTTGAACTGCTGCACATCGGTGCAAAGTTCTATGTTGAAACCAGTCAATCACAGCTTTCACAATACAATTGGAAATTACATCCATCAGGCTTCTAATGACACTCATATAACTACTGTGATGTTTATGAACTTATCAACCATTTCTAATGATTCACTTGTAAGGGTGTTTTGCAGTTATAGGTAGCTCTTGATTACTGCTAGATAGATAGATCCTTTCCAAGCGGTACTTCGTTAAGTGTGTAGGGTATTGATGCTAACTATGGAACCATGGAACGCTGAATGATTATTAGTACTTTGAACCAGCTGAAATGTTTTAGTTTTCTTTTCATAAAGTACTTTACCCAATGTTCTAGACATCTTTGTATTTTGTTAGTTTGTTATCCCGGTTGTTTCAAAGATCGTCTTCCTGAAAGCATGCTTCTTACTGCTGCTGATGATGAAATACCTTCTAACTACTGACATATTCAGCTGTTGATTCCATCACATATACATCTTCCTGGTTGGGGTCCTCGGGACGCAATAAACCAATGGTTGGAAACAATTGGTGATATGGCTCAAAATCGTTCTCAATGGCCGGCGCAGATGCATCCACTCCTTGTGACTTATGATTTCCAATTAAACTGTTTTGTTCTCCGTTATTACTATTCCTTTGTCTCACACCTCTGTTTACTGTCTATATTATGCATTTCTTCTACTTTCTTCTCTTGCTTTGTGTGCTACATGGAGTGTGACGACGAACTGCCGCACATATGTGCAAAGTTCTATGTCGAAAACCGACCGACCGACCGATCACATATACACATTCTGACCGTCAGATCCCTATCATTAGAAATACTGTAGATAAACTTGGTAGGCTAAAGTGCTATTTGAAATGCATTTGTCTACTTGTATAGCTTCTTACTGCATATAACATTGACTTGAAAAGTAACAGTTTTCTCGTAGTTTATTGAATTATTTATTGATTAATTTCGTCTTAACAATAAGTGCCAATCACTATCAGTGGGAGTAATTTGAAGGAAGTTACCACTTTCACTTATCTAGATACAGCATCATTTCAACTACAGGCGGCTACAGAGATGAGATTGTCAAAGCCAGGTAGGATCGAAAAGGCCAGGCAGACGGAATAAGAATAAGCAACTAGGAGCATGGGTGATGATGAGTCTATCACCCAACAAATATTCTAAAAGATGGATCAGATGCACACTGAGAAGACACGTTGAGTAATATCTCTTGCCATGTCCTCGAGTGGAACCTGAACGGGTCCGAGAGTGATATGGAGGAGATTGTGTGAGGAGGTGGGGAGGAGGAGGGAAGGAAAGCCTGCTTGCAATTGTAGAGCTAGCAAAAAGAGGACTGTGGATTTTTTAAATTTGAATTTTTATTTAAATGCAGAAAAACTTGGTACAATATGGGACCAAGAAAGATGCGCCACACAATAATAATAAAACAACATAGATTAAAAATAAAAATATAAGTAGAAAACGGATAAAGAACTTCATCTGGAAGGAAAACAGTCATGTTTAACAAGTTCAAACAGTATTCGTTAACTATCATCAGGAAGGGAAGAAAGAGGGAAATTGCAACACGTTCGCCATTGATTACGATCCTTGGCCATATCCGATAACGTTTCGAGCCATCGATTCGAGCTATCTCACAGACCCCAACCAGGGAGTCGTGACACACCAACCGATGCTAATCTAGCACAAATATCCTTCATCCCACGACGCCACGTCATGGACTGACCACCCCTCCGCCTTTTCCATCCCGTCCCAGGGCTAGCTAGCGAACAGAGACCTGTACAGAAGCCTCTAGGATGACATTCGTAGCACATGTCCAAGCCACCGGAGCTGGTGTTTCCAGATGACGACACTCAATGAATGGTGATCTCCACTGTGTTCAAACACACGTCGCCGAACCTCAGAATTACTCACGCGATGATACCATCGAACGCAAGTAATCCTGCGGAGACAGCGACGATCGAACACGCAGAGTCGCCTCACATCCTCAGCTCTGAGAGGCCAGGTTTCACAGGCGTAGAGCAAGGCAGCCCGCACCGAAGCATTGTATACCCGACCTTTGACAGTCAGGCTAACGTCGCGATGGCGCCAGAGGTGGCTCAAGTTGATGTATGCCACCCTAGCCTTCATTATACGGTTGGAAATCTCATCCGTCACCCCTCCGCCAGCACTCGCACAACTACCCAGATACACAAACTTATCAACAACTTCAAGCGGTTCACCCGCAAGAGTGAGTGCAGGTACAGGCTCCTGCCAATCTTGTAACAGTACTTTGCACTTAGACGGTGCAAAGCACATACCATACTTACAGCCACTGATCGCCAACTGATTAAGTGCGATTTGGGCAGCCTGCATGCTATCGCACAGTAAGACGATATCGTCTGCATACTCGAGGTCGAAAAGTCTATCTCCGGGTAGCAGATCTACACCACCTTCACGCACATCCTTCAGAGCTGACTCCAGAATGTCATCGATGGCGCAAAGTTAAAGAGAAATGGAGAGATTTGGCAACCCTGTCTAACCCCACTGTTTGACTGTGGAGAACAGGATGAAATGGACATCTGCTGATGAATCCCTATGTAACACTAAGAACCTACGGAGATTATATTGAATACTGAATAATAACGGCTTTTATTGTCAAGTATTTTAAAAACAATCGACTTGATGTTTCAGTTTGCCACTGTCCCCATTTCTACTTAATGTCATCACAGACGTACTGATGAACTTAACTCTATCTAACTTCAGTGACTCAGGGATTGACTTGTTGCCACCAGGGAATAATAGTCTCATTGACTTAAAATAGGCGGATGACAGAATCCTTCTAGGTGAAGACGTTGACAAAATGCAGCAGTGTTTTCTGAACACCTTAAGAATTAGCAGTCCTCTATTGTTTGGCACGCAATTCTCCCCCATCAAATGTAAGATGATGAGGCCACAGGACTGTACTGTACCGAACTACATTGACTCCTAGCTTAAAGATAAGCAGGAGTGAAGTGGTTGGTGGAGCGTGTTGACCAATTCGCTTGTTTGGGAAGTTGCATCAACCAACGCCAGCTGGGTTGATTGCTGATGAAATCTCATTACGGATACAGAAGGCTCCTTTGGCATCAGCCAATTTACGTCACCTCTGCCGTAGACGTAATATCTGACTGGCTATAGGTCAAAGGGCGTGTGTACTGCTCAGCAGCAGTTCGCGCTGTCCTCCATTATGGCTGACTGTGATTTAGTTTTTACAAATGACGAAGGAATGTATGAAACACGTAAACGTGCACCGATCCTCAACTATGATCACTCTATTGTTCGTGTTCTACCAAAAATATATAGCAAAATACATATTAAAGTCTTCTCGCATCTGTCTATGAAAGCACAACAAAGATGCTACTCATCCGACAACTTACTCAATCTAAGGTGCATGTTACAAAATACTAACTGGGATTTATTCCATGAAAGTTCATTAGATGACACAATCGTCAATATAACGGATTATCTTAAGTTTTGCCTTAATATATGCTGTCCCAAACAAACTCTATTCAAACGCCTCGACCGCTTCTCATCTCCTTATCTCAAACAACTTCGCAGGCAAAAAGAAACATTATACAAATCCAAAGACAAGTTAGGACTCAAAAAGATTAATGCTCAGATCAAATCTGATATCAAAAATCTTAATGCTATCTATAATGATACACTTTTATCATGTAAATCTCCAATCAGCATGTGGAAACTTTTTAATGAAATTACTGGCAATAGTAAGCGTTGTAATGCTTTTCCCTCTTATGATGTTAATGCTCTTAATCAGTCTTTTATACGCTGTCCTTCTACTTTAACTACTTCTAATGTTACCTATCATGTAGCTGAAAACTTTCATGACTTTAATACTCTCGATGTTCTAAAATGTCTTAAAACGCTCAAGCCCTCACGTAGCCTTGGCCCTGATGGTATGCCTGCATATGTTCTAAAACAATGTGCAGGTGCGTCGTGTTCTCCACTAACCAACATCCTAAATGCTTCTTTATCCAAAAATATCGTACCTGATGCATGGAAAGACATCAAAATTGTCCCTGTCCCTAAACCTGGAAACGGCAAGAACGTAAAGTTCAGACCTATTGCCATCACTTCCCCGCTTCTAAAGCTTATGGAAAAACTAATACTTCTTAAACTTGAACCCTCCCTTAAAAACTTCGAAGACCCCAAACAATTTGCCTATGGACAGAGTAGGAGTACTTAAGACGCTGCAGCTGTCTTACACAACAACATCGTCTCATCATTAGATAAAGGTGCCAAATACGTCCGCTGCACGTTTCTCGACTTCACTTCTGCTTTCGACTCTGTTCCTAGATGTTTCCTGCTAAATAAGCTCTCTTTGACAAAAACCGAGTCCTGGGTCACTAACTGGCTGCATTCCTACTTCTCTAACAGAATGCAGTACACCGTATACAAAGGTAAATCATCCTCTGCTGTACTCACTGAAGCCGGTGTCCCCCAAGGCGCTGTACTCTCCCCACTTCTCTTTTCTTTCTTTCTACATGACTTACCAGCTTCTAATGACATTAATTTTGTCAAATACGCTGACGATCTGTCTGTATCTTTGCCTGTCAAATGTCAAAGCGACTGCTCTAAACTTAATGGCTTTCTGTCAGAAATCAGCCAGTGGTCCAAAGAAAATGGTCTTACCCTAAACCCCTCCAAATGCCAAACAGTCAATTTCACCTTTAGGCATAAATCCGACCTAAACAAACTGGTTGGCTCTCATGAGGTATGCAACATAGACGGCACTGAAATAGAAACCAAATCGGAAATTAAATACCTAGGGGTCATTCTATCTGCTGATCTCTCCTGGTCGTCTCATATCTTAGCGATTTCTAAGAAAATATTCCGTCTTACCTTCTACATTAAGAAGTTAAAACATTCTGGTATAACCCAACCCTTACTCCTACAATTCGTTAACTCTCGCATTCTGCCTGTCATTCTCTATTGTTCCCTCTTAGTTTTTCCCGGGCTACTGAAGAAAGACTATAACATATTACTTAGGATGTTAAAGGTTGTCAGCAGGGTAAGCAACATGCCACTTAACCAGCTTGTTAATATTCTGGTCGACAGGCACATGGACTCCTGTGAAAAATGGGTCAAGTCCATTTTATCTAACTCACACCACCCTCTTCACTCACAACTCTCCCCTTACATCTCATCAGGTAAAACCAGAAGCCTTTGTAGAAAACTATATGCTCGCACCAGCAAGTACAAAAACTCAACCATACCCTACTTAGCACGTGTTTTGTGTGATAAAGAAAGCACTAGGCGTGACACCTATAATTCATTAAATAGTCTGTAGTACAACTGGATCTCGTCTTTCCAACTCACATCATCAATAGGTACAACATTTTCCTTTTCTCTCTCTTTTTTCCGTTATGTGCTGCTTTGTTTCTTTCTCTCGCTTACGCCAGTTAATAAGACAGCTCCCACTTTTCCAACACCTTCAAACACTGTTCAGCTGTGGCTTTGCTACCGACATGCCAATGTGTTGTTGTCATAATGAACTGTGATTTCCTTAATCTACGTAGAATTCTATTTATTGATAATGTACTGGATGCAATACTGTAGTAAAAAATGCTGAGAATTCCATTCTGTATCACATGTACAGTTTTGGAATAAAGCAAATTATTATTATTATTAAATCATGTTAGCCATTGATAGTGTAAGACATGGAAAACCTGGCTAGCTGCCTTTGATCGTAGGTGTTTGCGTTCTATCTCCTGTGTGTTCAGTAGTATAATACAGTGAGTAATATTCAGGTTAGGCGTCAAGTGTGTTAAGTAACTAAGGGAAATCAATCAATAAGGTTGTGAAGTTACATGGATTGAGATGCTTAGGACATGTGTTATGGATGCCTGGCTAGTGCCTTCCTCAACAATGGGCAATGTTAGCAGACTGACATAGGATGGATCATCAGGTTGGAAAAGAGTTAGCTAGTGGTGATGGTCAAACGAAAAGATGGCTTCATCAGTCAATGGAATCCACAACAGTTAGTTTAAGCGAGCCAGCTATTTATAGATATGCAGGCTTACAAGCTGGTCGAGGTTTTCAGGATTCCAGGAACCAGTGGCTGGCAAACAGTTGATCATATGTCTCAAAATCATTCTGAATGGCTCGCACAAATGCATGCACTGTTTGTGATTTATAAATTTCAATAAAACTCTTTTGTTTTTCCATAATATTGTTCTGGTTCCCTTATATTTTTGTTTATTATCTCTGTCTTTTCAACTTCCCCTAACTGGTTTCTGTCGCTTTGTGTCTGGTGGTACATGGAGGGAGAGTGGTGGCAAATCGAAGTGCTGTACACCTTTGCGAAGTGTTGTTCTACGTTTAATCAGTCATTTGGCATTGTATTCTTAATTTTACTTTTTAACTGAAAGCATTTCATTATCACGGATCATTCAGGTATTTTATGACGAATATCTCTCTTTTACGTTTCGTTTTTGTTTTCCCCTAGCGTGTACACATGCCTTCAGAAAGGACCGAATATCTGTATGGCCTAAATCTAAAGTTGATATCGATGCACTACATGAAATGAATTGGCTTATCTCTCCACCTGGCCTACTTGGCATTTATTCAGAATCACCATTTCTACGTCCTGCTGTATTACTACGTCGTGTACAATTTGCAGCTCCTGGAAGTATAAATCCAAATATCCCCGATGTTGATAATATGGTCCGTACTCTTCGTGAAATGGCTGATGCTAAAGCAACAAAATATTCACGTTTTGCACCGCATTTCCCGTCATCTGCAGCTTCTGTTGGATTTACAACTGATTATATGACTTATATATTTACGTTGGAATTAGAACGTCAAGTTGTTCGACTGCTGTTACGTTCTAAGTAAGTTCATATATATAACAATAAAACTTGGGCACTGTGGTAGAGTGTAATTCCATTATGGGTAAATTTTATTTTGATAGTCTCACAGTGTTATACAGTAATATTTACTGATGACGTTTCGAGCACAATTTATTGCTCATAATCATATCAAGGTAATCACACGACTTCCTAAATTCATTTATATAATTCCCTTGTTTTTCACTTGATTTGATTGGTAGTATTATTTTCTATATTTCGGGTATGAGTGATGATTCATTCCTATTGCATGTGTTGGGTGTAGATTCGATGAACAAAGATTCAGTAATCAACCTCTCTCTCCACCTACCTAGATTACTTTTTAGAATTTTAACCCTCTCCCACCCTATTGTGTGGTTGTGTGTTAATGCATGCATTACAATTGCCGAGCTTTTTTCTAAACTACTTATATTCTCGGGGTCAACCATTCTTACCTTGGCTAAGTTCTTATGTTTTGGCAATCTGACTACCCCTGACCTACTAGTTTGACCTATGTAGTTGATTTAACTCATAGTCATTGCAGGTTATTTTGTAAATTATATTATTTTGTCTAATTGGGTCCACTGGGTCCTTTAACCTACAGAGCTTGTCCCTGAGTGAGGTTGTAGGTTTAAATGCCACCCTAATTCCTGCTTTATTTAGAATCCTACGTAGGGTCTCAGATGTCCCCTCTTTATATGGTATAACTGTAGATGACTAATATTCTCTCTTATTTATGTTATTATTACTAGTTTCACAATTCTTTTTATTTTTCTTTTGGCGTTTTTCAATCTTCCTAATGAATTTTATCGGTCGGTCGGTCGGTCGGTTTTCGACATAGAACTTTGCACATATGTGCGGCAGTTCAAGTCGCCACACTCCATGTAGCACATAAAGCAAGAGAAGAAAGTAGAAGAAATGCATAATACAGACAGTAAACAGAGGTGTGAGACAAAGGAATAGTAGTAACGGAGAACAAAACAGTTTAATTGGAAATCATAAGTCACAAGGAGTGGATGCATCTGCGCCACTGAGAACGATTTGGAGCCATGTCACCAATTGTTTCCAACCATTGGTTTTTACCATCTCGAGGACCCCAACCAGGAAGTCTACACCTTCCTACGTGGCTTAAACTAACTGTTGTGGATTTCATTGATTGGTGCCATGTTTTGGTTTGACCGCCGCTAGCTCTTTTCCAGCCTGGCCCTATATCAGCTAACATTGCCCGTCGAGGAAGGCGATGACTAGGCATACGTAGCACATGTCCTAACCACCTCAGTCGAAGTAATTTCACCGTTTCGTGATGAATTTTAGAGGATAGTTATTTAAAACCAACGCCTTCTCTATCTTTATTTCATCATTTAGGTCTTCTTTTTTTGTGCTACTTAGTGCCATTGCTCGGTTTGTTAAACACTTAACTAAGCCTGCCTTAACAGTTAAAGGAGGAGATGAATTAAAGTCTAAATATCTATTAGAATGCGTTGGTTTTCTATAAACACTAGTGTGTAGTTTGCCTTCTTCTATTCGTTTTATGTGTGTGCATTGTTTACTTATCAGTAATTTGTCCCATCCCTGAGTTTTGTGTGTATCTGCGTGTGTATTCAAACTATAACGCGGAACAATCAAAATTGAAAATTTTGCCTAATGTGTCATCGACAAAAAGTGGTTCACTCTAGAATGCTAGAGGATATCCTTGCCTGAAACTGATACTTACAGGAGAATACACTTATAATGTGTAATAACTGACTGACTGTGACTGCGTATAGAAGTGCAGCAGTCCAACATGCCCCATTAACCCATGTAGCACACAAAGATTAACAAAATAGAGATTAGAAAGACTGACTGACTGACTGGTTTCAACATAGAACTTTGCACAGATGTGCAGCAGTTCGACTCGCCACACTCCCCACTCGTAGCACACAAACCAAGAGAAGAAAGTAAAAGGGAATGAAAAAATAGAGACAGTAAACAGAGATGTGAGGCAAAAAGAATAACAATATCGAAGAACAATATGGTTTTATTGGGTGTTATGAGTCACAAGGAGTGGATGCATCTGCGCTGTCATTGACAACGATCACTTTGAGCCATATCACCGATTGTCTCCATCCTCTATTGGTGTTTACCGCTCCGAGGACCCAACCAGGAAGTGCACACCTTCCTACGTGGCTGGCTGGCTTAAACTAACTGTTGTGGATTCCATTGACTGATGAAGCCATGTTTTCGTCTGACCATCACCACTAGCTAACTCTTTTCCAACCTGATCCATCCTATGTGTGTCAGATAACATTGCCCGTTGTCGACGAAGGCGTTGACTAGGCATCCATAATACATGTCCTAACCATCTCAATCGATGTAATTTCACAGCCTCGTCGACTGATTTCCCCCCTTACCTAGCACTCGACGCCTAACCTCAATATTGCTCACCTTATTATACCACTTCACGCGGGAGATAGAACACAGACACCTATGATCAAAGGCATCTAGTCTTTTCATGTCTTCCGCTCTCAATGGCCAGGTCTCACAGCCATAAAGGAGGACAGAGCGGACTGATGAGCAGTACACACGCCCTTTGGTCGATAGTCGGATATCACGTCTACGCCAGGGACGGTGTAAACTGGCATATGCGAAACTAGACCCATATCACACGGAGATAGAAGCATTCGTAAAAACGATAATAAGTAAAAATGTGAGAAAGAAAGAATATTAACACGGAAAAATAATTGGGTTTAATGAATATGGGAAGTCACAAAGAATGAATGCATCTCCACCAATACGGGACAATTTTGAGCCGTATTACCAATAGTCGCTAGTCATTGGTTCTTAGCATTTCCCCTGAGGACCCTAACCAGCCTGACACGCCTACAGCTCCTTACGTGGCTCATACTAACTGTTAACGACGTCATACATTGATAACAAGTTTTGATTTGACCACGTCTAACTCTTTTTTTTGACCTAATCCTGTGTCGCCTTATATAATAGCGCCTGTCGAGACAGGTGATGTCTCGGGATTTGTGGGACATATTTTTCCTAAGCATCTCAATCGATTCACTCTTGTAACCTCATTGGTTGACTTACTCTCTGCTTACCTGACACTCCACGCCTAACGTTAATATTACCCCCGGGCGTTGGGGGGTGAGAATGATTTCAGGGAGGTGAATGAGGATTTAGTGAATTTGTGAGATGATACGCGGTGATGAATGTGTTTACAGCATTGGGAACGATTTCAAACCTTGTCACTAGCATTCCCTAGCTATTGTTTTTTAACTTTCTAAGGATTGTGGCGAGTTTACACCTCCTTGCATCACCCGAACCACCAACAGTTAAATGACTTCATTGGCTGATATCTTGTGTTTTGGTTTTAACCCCACCCCTCTAACTGTTTTCTGGGTCAACGTTGGTTTACAAAGAAGGCAGTCACACTTGTCCTTCCCTTTCATCTGTTCAACTATCTCATCACTTGATATAGCTTCATAAGCTCGTCAATTGAGTTTACCTTCTTAGCTAATTATTACGCTTAACTTAAATATTACTAACTGAACTTGAGAGATAAAACACAAACACTGGAGTTTGGAAGGAGATTTGGGAAGTTTCGGTAAATGTCTTACAGTAGAACACTAATAAACTAGCAATAATGTACATGAAGGTCACATAATAATATACAAGGAAACATGTAAGAGTGGAGGTTGTGTGGAAGGGTATACTGACTTTCTCTTTGACGTAGCAACGTTCATTTTACGAAGTGACATGACGTAAAATTACTCCATATAACACTGCCTTTTGTGGAATTGGATGACTCGGTCTGTATAACACTTGTCCTTGCCATTTCTGTCTCTTTCGATTGATTTTCCCTCCTTACCAAACACCCTACGTCCTACCTCATGTTAAGTGGTATAATATAGTGAGTAATGTTAAAGCTAGGTAAGGTAGGTAAGTCAATTGGTGAGGTTGTGAAGGTGCATAGGCTGAGACGGGAACCCGAAAGGGAAGCGGCGAATGGGACGTCCAAGGGTGACATGGAGGAGATCGTATGATGAGGAACTGAAACAGTATGGATTAACATGGATGCAAGTGAAAAGTACAGCACAAAACAGAAGCAAGTGGAGACGTGCAGTTGAAGCCCTATGTTCCACTAGGAACCCAAGGGAACAATAATAATAATAATAGGCTGAGACGGCTAGGACATGTATTGTGCCTGCTTAGCCATCGCCGTCTTCGTCGAGCGATGTTAACTGATAGAGGATCAGGTTAGACCAAAATATACCATCGATCCATAAAGTTTTTGATAGTTTGAGTCATGTAGGGAAGTGTAAACTGCCAGGTTGGTTGCGGTCCCAGGAATGCTAAGAACCAATGGTTGGAGAATTTTGGTGAAATGGCTCAAATTTGTTCTCGATGGCGCAGATGCATGCACTCACTTCTAGATGAACTGGTTAGTTAAAGATCTCATTCTTTGCATCATGTGTATGCTCAAAGTAAACGATTCCTTTCGTATTTAAGACCTCTGGTGTAGTGATTAATCTACTATTACGTGGTAGGTATTAGTCATCAGTGTCATTTTTTATATGGTGGGGTTCATTCCGTTGAAGAATATGTAAACCCTACCTAACACAGTTCTCAAAGTTATCGGGATGGGGGGAAAATTGTGGATTTATTCGATTTTGTTGTGCCCACCATGCTTTTAAAATTTTATTCCTAAGCGAAGTCAAATTCTTCATGTAGGAATTTGACATACACATTTAGCGTGTACATGCTTGCCTCAAACAAATTTATGTCTACTAGTTCATCAAACTAACTACCTTTAATTTTTATTTCTCAGGCATATTATTTCTCTCTCTACAGCTAGAATATTTGTTCGATTTTTCTATAGGTGTGTCTATCACACTACTAGTGTAATATTGTAGTCTTCATGGTCAGACTTGAATTGATCATGCTGGCCTGTCTGTCACTCGCTCACGTGTATCGCATAGTGTGTGTTTACGTGTCAGTAGTTAGCCACGATCACATTTTTCAAGGTGAAACGACTAAAAATCGATGTTCCAGGCTTGATTTGGATTGGATGTCGTTCAAGGTCACTTACGATCGCAGACAGACACAACCGGTCTGAGGCAATCGATCGGGCTTGCAAAGGCCAAACATGCAAAGCAAGGCATAATTGTTTTGTGTTGAATTGATTTACGCGGTTTCCGACCTAACGTACCACTAAATTGTTATCATGTCGGTGTAGCAGCTTATTTCAGGACTTATAGGTAGTCATCCTCAATTGGCACCAGGATAGTGAAGAGATCCAGTCTTTTTTATTTTGAGCTCAATGCCTTCATGAATTTAGGTAAAATATATTGAAAATCTCGGGTCGATTTCATCTGAACCTCTCATTGAAGTTAGTATGTGACACGAGGGTTTTCGTCTTTGAAATTTACTAAATTTGGAGTTTTTTAAGTATTTCTAAATGGATATTTCATCAAATTTACATCTCTTTTCTTTGCTATGCAGATTTTCGTGTTTTTTTGTTTTCTCCGTTTTTACTTATCTACTTATAAGTAGTATAATTCTTTACAAGAAAGTTTTACCTTCTGGTTGAATCTCATTTATATGAGCTCATTGACTGATTAACGTCGTTTCAAACTAGAATTTTGCACAGAAATGTAACAGTTCAAATCGGCACGCTTTTACAGCTGGGATCGACTTGTCCAGCATCCGATACCTACCTGAATAGGATGTCAACTGTTTCTAATCTGAAACGAGATAGAGCAAGGGGAGCTGGTGGAAAGACTCCAGAGGTGTTTAAGGAGGGTGGTGGAAAACAGTTGTCTTGGTTAGCTAAGGTATTAGGTAATTTTTGGGAATCAGAGCAGATCCGTCACTGACTATCTGTTTGTTAGGAGACAAGACCGTGATACTTATAGTAGGGGGGGGCGTTAGCTTGACTGATATAGTATCTAAGGTTCTAGGCTCAGTAACCATGTGTAAACTAAATGGTGCTCGAGAGAAACAAACTCGAGAAAACCAGGTAGGCTTTAGACCGGGAAGAGGGTGTACTGATCATATCCTCACATTTCGACAGATTCTGGAACATAGGCATGCCTAACAGCAACCAGACGGTATCCGAGGTCTACTATAGCAATGTTTGTTCGTGAAGAGGGTGTTGAGAAAATATATCGCACTAGTCAGGGCAGCCTTGCTAAACTCTCACTTACGGAGAGTTGTCAGTTGATGAGCATATCCTTTGGTCTCAACATTTATGTATTTTTTTATTATTACTCTCTTCTCACTTCAAATAAACAGAAAGTCTGGAAATAGAACTCAATTATTTTGAAGAAATAAACGTTGAAGAGAGATTCTGTACAGTCATATATAGAGATTTACAAAAACGGCGAAGTTGGCTGACTGACTGGTCTCAGCACAGATGTGCAGCAGTTTACGTTGCCACCACTATCCCTCCATGTAGCACACAAAGCAAGAGAAGCCAGTGAAGAGAGATGCAGAAAAGAGAGATAATAAACAGAAGTGTGAATGAGGGAAATAAAATAGTAGGATGGAAGAAAAATAGAGTTTTACTGGATATGACAAATCGCAAAAAGTGAATGCATCTGCGCCAACCATTCAGAACTATTTTGAGCCATATCACTAATTGTTTCCCTGCCACTGGTTCTTAGAATCCTGAGGAACCCAATCTGTCTGTCAGTTTACACTTCCCTAAGTGGCTGGCTGGCTGGCTGACTTTAACTGCTGTGGATTCCATTGATTGATGAAGCAATGTTTTCGTTTGATCACCACTAGGTAACTCTCTTCCAACCTGTTGATCCATCCTATGTCAGTCAGTTAACATTGCCGTTGTCGAGGAAGGCGATGGCTAGGCATGCATGCATGCATGCATAACACTTGTCCTAAGCATCTCAAACCATGTAACTTCACACCTCGTCGATTGTTCCCCGCCATCCCGAGGACCCCAACTAACCTGTCACTCTACACCTCTATAAATGGCCGGCTCGCTAAATCTGTTATAGATTTCATTGACTGATGCCGCCATGTTTTCTGACAACTTACCCTATGTCAGTTAACATTACTCATAGAGGAAGGGGATGGGCTAGCTATGCCGGATGATGTTCAGAGATGCGTTTGGAAAGTGTGCGCTTTGTGCGGCCAAATTTGTCGAAGCAACTGTCATCAAAAGTGTAGAAACCTAACTTAGGCTTTCAGAAAGATTCACATGTTAGTCTTTCTTTGCTTTGGTGAATCAACGTCTAATCTCTTCGTCTCGATTGATTACGTAATCCTTTGCCTTTACCCCACCCCCACCCTTTTGCTTTTTATTTACTTTAGTGTAATTCAATTCTTTTTTTCTATGACTTGAGTTAAACTCATCATCCACTTGTCTTCTCTTTTCTTGATTGTGCAACTCAATTTTCAATGTATCCAATCATTAATTTTGCATGCCCTTGTATTTTGTTGTTTGAACTTTGACCTCTTATGTCATAAGTTATCTAAGTGGTACTTATAAACATTGTTTTTTATTAACTTGTGTGTTTGTCTGTTAACAAAAGTTATGTTGGTCCTTGCGAGTATGACAAGATTCTGCGTACATTTACATAATCAACTTTAAGGTTATAAGCAGCTGAAGAGGATCCAAAGACGAATTAATGACGAAATGATGGTCTCATATTATTCTACTCAAACATTTGATTTTGCTTTGTTTAAATGTAACTAACGCAGTTCAAGACTATAATGCTGTTGATAATATGTACACCAGAAAAAAATGCGAAAACTTCACTGGAAATATATAACTCGTCATTAAACCACAATAGGAACGAACGACGATGCTATAGTTAGCGGGAATATGCAGTGAAGCCACTCCGTATTCTGCTTGTTCGTTGCCCCCTCATGTTTTCCATGTATCTTCCATATCTTCTCTTCGCCACTAAATCCATCTCTCCGCTTTATTCGATATATTTTACAGATTATATACATATTTATTCCTTCATATATAAACTACTTATAAACCTTGTCAGTAGCATACATCACCCAACGTACTTTTCCTGTTTGGTTTGGAATTTTGTGCGGTAAACACAGCTTAGATGTATGCTAAATATGCTAATTTTATGTGGCTTTATGCTAATATTAGTAGTAGTAGTACTATTCAGTTTTCGCACATGTTCATGTTTTAATTGCTGGGCAATTGGAGGCGACGACGGCTTGCTTGAATCTTTAACTGACTGACTGACTGGTTTCAACGTAGAATTTTGTACCAATGTGCAACAGTTCAAGTCGCCACACTCTCTCCTCGTAGCACATAAGCAAGAGAAGAAAGTAAAAGGGAATGCGAAATGAAGACAGTAAACAGAGATATGAGGCAAAAGGAATAGTAATATGGAAGAACAATATAGTTTTATTGGGTGTTATGAGTCCCAAGGAGTGGATGCATCTGAACCAGCCATCGCTGAGAACAATTTTGAGCCATATCACCAATTGTCTCCAGCCTTCATTGGTTTTTACCGTTACGAGGACTCCAACCAGTCAGGAAGGCTACATCTCCCTACGTGGCCGGCTGGCTTAAACTAACTGTTGCGGATTCTATTGAATGATGAAGCCATGTTTTGGTTTGACCACCACTAGCTAACTCTTTTCTAACCTGATCCATTCTATGTCAGTCAGTTAGCATTGCCCGCTGTCGAGTTAGGCGATGGCTAGGGATGCCTGTGTGACACATGACCTAACCATCTCAATCGATGTAACTTCACAACCTCGTTGATTGATTTCCCCTCTCACCTGCCTAGCACTCGACCGTTGCCTAACCAACTCAATACTGCTGACCCTATTATACCACCATATCACACGGGAGATAGAACGAAGGCACCTATGATCAAAGATAGCTAGCCAAAATTTCCATGTCTTTCACTCTCAATGGACAGGTCTCACAACTATAAAGGAGGACGGAGTGGACTGCTGACCATTACACGTGCCCTTTGACCGATAGCCGGATATCACGTCTATGCCAGAGGTGGCGTAAATTGGCATATACCAAACGAGCCTTCTGTATCTGTACTGAAATGTCGTCAGTAATCAACCCCGCTGGCGTTGGCTGACGCAACTCACCAAACAAGCGAAGTGGTCAACACCCTCCACCAACCACTTCACTCATGTTTATCTTTAAGCTAGGAGTCATTTTAGTCCATTCCAGTCCTGTAGCCTCATCATCTTACATTTGAGAGCGAATCACATGCCAAACATTCGAAGATTGCTGCTCCTCAAGGTGTTCAGAAGACTGTTGCATTTTGTCACCGTCTTCACCTAGAATGACTATCTGAATATTCTAAGTCAATGAGATTATTCCCTGGCGGTAAGAAGTTAATCTCTGAGTCACTGAAGTCATCTAAGGTTAAGTCCATTAGTACATCCCAGATGAAATTAAACAGAAATGGGGATAGTGGGTATCCCTGTCGGGCTACTTGAATTTTCATCCGACACAATACATCTTATTCTCTTTAGTTCTTGTTGTTTTTAAATCATTCAGTTATATCCCCTATCGTTGAGCATTTCTGTGAGATCGCTGCTTCACATGAAGATGGTTGTTTTACCTGAAACTTTTGGATGAAGAGTAAATATTATGCCATAAACTTCTCTAAAAATTGCGTATATTGTGTAAACTTATTGTGTATAATAAAGCTATTGTTAATAATAATAATAATAATAATAATAATAATTCATTGATTATTTAAATTTTACAAAAATTTTACGTTTATGACATTTTTCTGTCTAAAGGAATATTGGTCATTCAAATTGGCGAGTAGTACTAAGACTTGGCTGGGCTACAACAGATTTCTACGTTCCAGGTGATACATCTTCGAACAGTGCAAGTCACCGTGCTATTGTCCCGGAATCACTACCACGTTGTCTTTCTGTTCGTGTTGGTGGTCGAGTTATCCCCCTGCCTGATCCTATTTTCCATGGGGGTCAAGCTCAACGTTTAGGCAAACGACTTCGTATGTCTATTGATATTACTGAAAAAGTATGTTCACCACAATTAAGTAAAATCAAGTTTTTTTTCATGAATTATTGATTCCAGTTTTTGGTTTGACCTTCCTCCTATCTCTTCCAGGCAAGATTATGTCAGCTAATATTACTCATCGAGGAAGGCGATGGTTTGACTTGCGTGCGTAACGCGTCTAAGCCATCACAGTCTATGTAGCTTCAGAACACATTTCACTCCCCTAGTTTGACAGCTGTTTCGCTTGACTATACAGCTACTCACCGAAAGTGAATTAGTGTTCATGCGAATAATCAAGGCCTAGTGGAAGCACCATCAACAACAAAATTCGGATTTTCAATTCAAACATCAAGTCAGTTCTTCTATACTGATCAGAAACTTGGCGGGTCACCAAGAATATTTCCAACAGCCTGTTGCAGACCTTTATCAACAACTGTCTTCGCTCTATACTGAAGATCAGATGGCCGGAAAGAACAAGAACCAACAAGAAACTATGGGAACAAACAAAACAAGAACCAATCGCCCAACAAATATGCAGAAGAAAGTGGAGATGGATTAGACACTCGCTGAGGAGGCCACTGGGTGACATCGCGCGTCAGGCCATAGCTCGAGTGGAACCCGAAAGGGAAGCAGCGAGTGAGACGTCCAAGGGTGACATGGAGGAGATCGTGTGAAGAGGAGTTGAAACAGTATGGACTAACATGGATGCAGGTGAAAAGTACAGCAGAAGACAGAAGCAAGTGGAGGCGTGCAGCTGAAGCCCTATGTTCCACTAGGAACCCAAGGGGACAATAATAATAATAGTGAAAGCACTAATAGGAAGGAAGCTACCAACCATATACGTCACTTTTATCCACAAGTCATCTGCAGCTAAGACTCCAGTCGCCCTGAAATCCTTCGATGTTGTGTTACCTGTGTTTGCTAGAGATTGCAGGGTAGGATACTGTAAATTAACAGATTGTTATCTATGTTGTTGTAAGTTTAAGTTCCGAGTGAGACAAGGGCTTCAGTGACATATCTCCATTTTGTCCTATTCCCTGTGGTCCTCTCAAGCCGGCCCCATGATTTTCTATAGTCTCTCTTCTCTTCACATGATCTCCTCCATGTTACCGTCGGATCTAGCCCAACTCACAGCTTCCCACTTGGGTCTGGTGCGCGATATGATTCGACGGTCTCCTCAGCGCGTATCAAACTCATCTCCATTTTCTTCGGAATATTTATTGAACAATAAGTTCTTGGTTGGCCCGTCTTCAAAGTTTCTTGTTGCTAATTCTTTCTGGCCATCTGATCATCAGTTCAGTATGGTGCTAGCGAAGTAGGCAGCCGTTGGCAAAAGTTTTCAGCCTATTAGAAATGTTTTCAGTGACACGCCGAGTTTCTGACTACATAGAATAACGTTGGTAGTGAAAATCCGAATCTTGTTTTTCATGCTAAATGCAGGAGATTTTCAAAGTAAAGGTCATTCTTGACTTTTCGATTCTGGTTCTGATATCCTCATCCATGCTGTTGCTTGTAGTTGAAACGATGCTGCCTAGATATTATAAGAGGAGAAAAAGGGAGCTCCTCCAGATTTCTCTCGTTGGTAGTGACTTGTGCTTGTTGTTGCTGTTCATAGGTTATTTTCATCACCCCAGTCTTCTTTATAATATCGTTTTGTTTTTCATTCATTGGGAAATACAAAAACCTTTATTATAATGAATATCATATACCCAATGCCCAAATTTTTTCAAACTGTTAAAAGTCAACTTGGTTTGGACATATATACCCCAGTCTTCTCTCTGTTTACTTGAATTCCCATCTGTGCCTCTACTTCTTCTGCCATTTTGTTGGCTTTTGCCTGTCGACCTTTGAGTTTGTGCGACATGAGACATAAATTGTCTCCAAAGTTCAGGTCTTCTAGACTCTCCTTTTTTTTCGGTCCAACATATTCCTGTCTGCTCACTCTCTGTGCACAGTCTGACGCATAATTCAGTCCACCACAATTAAGAATATTACTGGTGATATTAGGCAGCCTTGTCATACTCCTCTATTGACTTCGAACGCTGCGATGAGTTTTCCGTCGTGGATCACCTGACGCGTAGCAGGCAATGTCATAGAGCCGGCTTTTGAATGAGGTTTATGAAGATCTGGTCACTTCTTCACGCCATAGTGTTGAATTAGTTTGCAAATTACTTCACGGTCAAATCTGCCGAAAGTCTTTTCGAAGTCGATGAAGTTGAGGTAGGACTTTGACTACCATTATATATATGCTCTATTCGACTGATTAATGCCAGATATGATAATGTCATATATGATGATATTACAGTTGTTACAGAGACGTGATTATAAGACAAGAATCAACTCTGATAACGAATGCCAGCTGACAAAGCGTCAACTATCAATGCTTTCTGACCCCAGATACATTCGGAATACTACAACGCAACAGACCGAGCGTGTATACCTCTTTAAGTATTGGTTTTGTAGGTCCCAATTTGGGACTCTTCAGCAGTATGCACCAACCGGGGTTCGAACCCAGGACCTTCTGGTTACAAGGTTTTCCAGTGGTTCGCTAACTGATGTCAGCCCATGATGAAGTCCTCCATCCAATCAAACTAAACCCCTACAAAACAATCAATACTTGAAAATTAATCTGATGCTCACTAGCAACTGGCAGTGACCTGGGCTGGTTCTAGTGGGAAGCCGTGACCAGTAGGGTGCATCAGGTTGAAGATGAGGCAGTAACTCATCGAAAAAGACATTGCGAAATGGTCGCTCTATGACGTGAATCGTCAGAAATTAGAATTCATGGGTTGGTCTTTGGATCGGGTCCCAGTGGCTCATTCGTCTGCAAGCTCGCTAGCCTGCCTTGTAACCAGAAGGTCCTAGGTTCAAATCCCGATGGGTGAGTACCGATGAAGAATCCCGAACTAGGCCGTCGAAACACCTGTCCAGTACTCCCAGGTGGTTTTCCAGGGGTTCTCGAGCTGATGTCAGCCCATGATGAAATCCTGTATACCTTTTTAGACAATTATCCTTGTTGTTATGTCTGTCGGTAGTTTAAACACATTGTTCACCCCCGTACACTTGTCGCTCTCTCTCTCCCCAATCTTCGCCTCTATGTGGTGGTGGTGGTGATTATATTTCCACCTTATTTTCTTTCTTTCTTTCAACTTACCATAGGTTCTTATGAAATGTAATTCTGGCATCAGAAATAAAGTTGTCGATATTGAATTGACTTGGTTGCATGCACCACTAGAAGATCAAACTATGGATCTGTTAAGTCTACTTGCTGATGGATTAGTCTCTCCTTTACTCTGTCATCTAGTCGGTTTGCCTTTAGTTCAAGTGACACTGGATCGAGTGTATACAGTTGCAGACCTACGAAATATCTTTAGTCCAGGCGATCCAGATGCATTGAAAAAATTCATTGAAGGACCTGTATTAGATGATACAAATTTTCCACCTTTAACAACAAATTCAGATGACTCGGGGCCTTTAGAACATCATGGAGTTTATGGAATATATGATAGCTGTCTACCTCCTGAATGTATGCTACGTATGGAGAATACAAAGGTAAGTATTTTTATGTTTTGAATGCCGGTTAAGTTTTTTTTTTAAAATTTTCTCTAAAGATTTATGTTTTGATCAAAGATTAATAACAGTTAGAGAACCAAGGAAGTGAGTGCTGCACTTTCGTTTCGTTCTTGTTTGGGACTCTTCAGTAGCACCTGCCCATGACCCTTCACTTTCGAAGGGTTTAAAACGAAATCCGATGACTTGTCCATGAATTCTAATTGCTGTGTATTTCTATATCAGTAAACTAAATTCCCTTTTAACAGTTTGAAAAAAATTTGGGCGTTGGTTATATCATATTCATTATTATCAAAAAGTTTTTGTATTTCCCAATGAAGTGCATCGGTGGCACAGCGGTGGAATGCTCGTCAACCACGCCTCATGTGGTTCGACGTTCGATCCCCGGCCACCGACGCACTCCTTTACCTCGCTAAACCAGTAATAGGAGTGGTAAAGATGGAAGGTTGGTCTGTCTGTTTTCGACATAGAACTTTTCACCCATGTGCAGTAGTTCAAATCGCCACACTCCATGTAGCACACAAAGGAAGAGAAGAAAGTAGGAGAAATGCATTGTGTAGACAGTAGACAGGGATGTACTAATGGACTTATCCCTAACTCACTTCAGAGACTCAGGGATTTACTTGCTATCACCAGGGAATAATCTCGTTGACTCTCATAGAATATGCAGATGATGTAGTCCGCTTCTTTCTGAACGTACAAAGGGAACAAATGCTTTAAACAGTGCCATCGCCAGGCATCTCCTTGACACGGATCATGAGGTGGACGTCGCAGTTTCGTTCAAAATTATCAATAGCCAAAAGAGCTCAATTCCCCTGAAATTTGCTGAAGCGATCTCCATCAAGAGCCTGAAACCCGATTTAGGCGTTCAGAAAGATGCGGTTATCAGTCTTTCCTTGTCCGTCCTGGTTACTGAATATTTTCATCTGATTACATAACGCCGAACGTTTCCATTGTGTATGATCATTATTGTTTGGGATAAAGTGTTTATTATTATATATATCATTATTCTATGCATATATTGACTGATTGATTTCTGCTTAAAAATTAACTCTCTGTGCAAGTATGTTAAAATTGTTTCTGTAGACATACTTAATAATGACTTTGGCCTGTAGGCAGCTGATGAGTGAGAAGCCATCGAAATAATCGCTGTTGGTTCTATTTTATTCTACATAAACCGTTGTTGTTGTTCTTGCTTTATTCAAATGTTATAACTGAACTGAATTGAATAAATCCGTTCGTTACTTTGTTATGTCTGCACCTGTTAATTACTATAACGGTAATGAACTTAACTGAGGAGACGTTAATACGTCTATTTGTCCGTTGTACCTTCTGACTCACCGAGCCACGCAAAAGTATGAAAAGACAAAGGCTGGCCTTTAACTACATGTAAGATATTGTATTATTGTACATCTATTAAAAAACAAAACATCACATTTACTATATATATTTAACTTATCATAATACAGTTGGCTCACAACCGTGAGAATGGACTGATCTTATTAGCTGGAAATGTCTGTTCTGATTGGTTGTTGGTGTGACAAAGGCCAAGGTGAGAGAAAAGACGATGAATTGATCACACACACGCACACTAGATCACAATATGCGTGAGAAATGATGATCCAATCACAAGATAGTATAACTCCATCACAAGATAAATAATCATCACATGATTTGTGAGAAAGGATGATGATGATGTACTATTGTATGCTAGCTGTATTTGATCATAGGTGCCTATGTTCTATCTTCCATATGATGTGGTGGTATATTAAGGTGAGCAATGTTGAGTTGGTTGGGTATCGATCGAGTGCTAGGTAGGTTGGATGGGAAATCAATCGATGAGGTTGTGAAGTTACATGGATTGAGATAGCTGGAACATGTGTTACGTATGTCTAGCTATCGCCTACCTCGACAACGGTTAATGTTAGCTGACTGACATAGGATGGATCACCAGGTTGAAAAAGAGTTAGCCAGTGGTGGTCAAAACAGAGCATGGCTTCACCAGTCAATGGAATCCATAACAGTTAGTTAAAGTCAGCCAGGCAGTCACTTAGGGAGGTGTAGACTTCCTGACTTGTTGGGGTGTTCGGGATGGTAAGAACCAGTGACGGTTGGTGACATGGCTCAGCGATAACGCAGATGTATCTACTCCTTCTGACTTATAATTGCCAATAAAACTATATCGTTCTTCGATATTATTATTGTTTTTGCCTGATATCTCTGTTTACTGTCTCTATTTTGCGTTTATTTTACCTTCTTCGCTTGCTCTGTGTGGTACATGAAGGGGGGTGAGTGTGGCGACTCCATCTGTTCCACATTGTGCAAAGTTCTATGTTGAAACGAGTCACTCTGTCAGGCACTATTTTTGCTGGGTTCTATCAGCAATACATCCGTACTTTTACCTACCATTCTTATCCTATTAATCGGTAATTTATTGGATTAACTAAACTGAGCGATTGCTGCTATTGTCACACGTATGAGGTGATTAGGTGCCTATGTCGTTTGTTTGTGTGTGTGTGATTGTCTGCATCTTGGCCAATTATTCGACAGTTGTATGTAAATCTTCAGTTGAACTTAATGCTGTTTTTTATTCCTTTACGTTCCCAGAGGAATATAGGGCGCCTTCAAGCTAGAGGCTTGAAGTTTATGTAGCAGTGGTGATTATTTTTACAGGATTGGGTTGCTAGCCGACCTCATGCTCAACCTTCCCTGTTTAACAGTCTTACTACTGGCTTAGCGAGGTAAAGGAGTGCGTCAGTGGCCGGGGATTGAACTCCGGACCACCTACGTGGTCGGCGAGCACTCTACAGCTGTGCCACCGACGCACAATAAAATATCAGATTTTACTTTTTAGAAAATTGACTGGTTGTAGTGTCTGACTTACTGACTGGTTTCAACGTAGAACTATGCACCGATGTGCAGCAGTTCGAGTTCCTAGAGACTCTCCCTTCCTCCAGGTACCACACGAAGCAGGAGAAGAGAGTCAACAGAGATTGAAAAGAGAGGTAGGTAATAAACAGAAGTGACTGGTATCTTTGTATTTCAGTCTATTTCCAGTGGCAGTGCAAATAATATAAGAATCACTTGATTTTGACGATATTGAAATAATCCAGAAAAAGGGATTTCAGAAATCACAAAGAATGTCTAATAACACCGGAAGCACTTCATATCAAATGGAATCCAAATTGTCTGAACTGAATAGGAATGATGGACTAAAACAGAAATTGACTTGGTTGCAGCATCCACCCACCCCCTTCGTGAAATAATAACATCAATACGAATGTGATAAGCAATTTCATTATGTGAACACACGCTGCTTTTATAATTTTACACACTTATCAAATCCAACAGTCATCTAAACCTGGTTTTGTTATCTTTACCAGTTGGCCAATTTGACAACGCAAAAATGCCCCCTTGCTGAGGAACAATTATTGAGTTGTTATTATATAAGCTGAGTGGATTTTGTAAATTCTGGTTTAACATGACTACTTTGATAAGGCTATTAACAGCAGTATTAAATAGCGAAACATCAATAAAAAAATATTCGTTTTGTTTTTTATTCATTGGGAAACACAAGAAAACCTTTATTATAATGAATATCGTATAATAATAATATTTTGCTTTATTCCAGAAACAGTACTAGTGGTATAGTGTGGAATTTTCAGCACATATCTACAATATTTGCATCTAATTTTATCAAACATTTAAAAGGAGAATTTCAAAAAATAAAGACAACAACAACAAAAAACACAAAAATAATTTTAAAAGAAATGCGAAAAGAACACCAAGAAGTAGAAAGGAAAATAAACAGCATATAATAATATGTCAGTATTGGGTAGTGGAAGCTGCGGTATGTTTATGCATGATGACAGTAAAGCTATAGTCATACAAGAAGTTATGAAATGATATTTAAGAATGTTTAACGCCAAGATGATCAGTTAATTTGATTGAACAACACTAAACAGTCATAAAATAACATTTCGGGGTTTTTTATTGACAGCTCTAATGCGGTGTTTGTGGTGGTAGTGTGAGTAATCCCGCATAATACAAAATTTTAAGGTGGTGACAATGGCGTTCACAACTAAGATTGTCAGTTAATATTGCCGAACAAAAAGAAACCAAAAAAATAGCAACCACAAAAACTAATAATTACATGATGGTTTATTACAGGACAATTTTGTAATGCTCATAGTGTTAGTGTAGTCGGAACTAGTAGATACACAAAAGAACGAATAGAGTAAAGTAAAAAGTAAGCTAATGTTAATAATTTAGGTAGCTAAGTATATTTGAGGAGTTCACTATAGAATACGAAATAAGAGAGAAATAAAAATAAAATGATATCCAATGCCCAAATATTTTTTCAATCTGTTAAAAGTGAACTTGGTTTGGATGTATATAATATACCTATAATTAAACAATTCTTCACATTATATCACTTAATTTTGTTTGTTTTCTTTTCTTTTTCTGTTTTCTAGCTTGAATTGAAATCTCGTTTTGAGAAGAATGATGACAGCGATAATGATGTGATTATCGGGGATGGAGATGCAGATGGCGATGTTGAAGCGGCTGATTACATTCCAATATGCTTATTGTGTCCACTTACTCGAACAAGAATTGAGGTAAGGTGGTTCTTCTTTTTAAATACTATTATTATTATTATCATTATCAGGGGATTATGTAGGCTGGACTGGTAGATTTCAGTCTACACCGACCCAAGAACTAAACGCATGACCCCAGTAATCACCCCAGTGACTAATCAGAGTATCCACTAAACAATTTCACAGGAGAAGGCCGATCATGAACCTGAACAGCTCAGTGACATCGCGTCGTCTCTGACTGGCACACTAGGTAATCCAGGTTTGAATCTTAGAAGGGAGAGGAATTACTTTCAAGATTGTAGATACACAGTCTTGTTTTACGAGTGCCGAAAAAGTATCTTTAATCATTCCCCATTCGTTGTATCGATTGTATAGTTCTCTAGATTTACGGGTAGACAGAGATGTTGAATAGGTGCGTCGGTGGCATAGCGGTTAGGACGCTCGCCGACCATGCACGTGGTCCGGGGTTCGATCCCCGGCCGACGCACTCCTTTACCTCGCTGAACCAGAAATAACGCTGGTGAAGAGGAAAGGTTGGGCATGAGGTTAGCAACCCCATCCTGTAAAATAAGCACTGCTACAGAAACTTCAAGCCACTAGCTTGAAGCCCTATGTTCCACTGGGGAACGTGAAGGAAATAAAAAAAAATAAAATAAAAAAAGAGATGTTGAATCATTCCCATCACACACACTCACTGTCAGTTGATTCGATAAGTGAAGTTTCCGTCATCACTTTTACCCTTCAACCTGTTATGCTAGGCTTTAGGACTGTCATCATCTTAGCTCATCCAATTGCAGGTAGTGTTAAACTGAGCTATCTTCTAGATTTGATATGTTATCATCAGGTCAAATACTACAGATCAAAGTAGTAGAACAGCGTCAGTTAGATTAGCAGATCACAAAAACTTAGATTAGTTGATCCTAATGTCATAAAAGATCTGGAGAATAGTTCAGCTATAGCACTCACTACATGCAATTACACACACCTCAGCATACCGTAGGATGAGGTAAGATGACAGTTCTAAAATCTAAGACCCAGAGACAACAGCGGACTTGATGATGCCACTACTGGAGAAGGCATGGAAAGAAGGCAAGGTACCCGAGGATTGGAAGAAAGGATACTTATTCAAACTACCAAGGGAAGGAGACTTAAGTCAATACAAGAACTGGCGCGGAATTATGCTCCTGTCCATCCCAAGCAAAATACTAAGCCGCATCATCTTGGAGAGAATCAAACAAGCCCTGGATGAAAACTTCGACCAGAACAGGCTGGGTTCAGGAGAAACAAGTCATGTATTGATCAAATCGCCACACTACGGATCATCATCGAACAAAGCTTGGAATGGCAGTCAGCTCTCTCTCTCTCTCAACTTCATTGACTTTGAAAAGGCCTTCGACAGCGTCGATCGAGAGGTTCTCTGGCAACTGCTTCGCTACTATGGGGTGCCACCGACAATCATACATCTCATCCAACAGCTGTACGACAATGGTGCATGCCAGGTAATCCACAATAGGAAACTTACGGAATCCTTCGAAGTGAGGACAGGAGTAAGACAAGGTTGCCTTCTATCGTCAATGATTTTCCTGAATGCAGTAGACTGGATAATGCGACAGACAGCGGGCAATGAGGAAACAGGCATAAAATGGACTCACACAAAGAACTTGGAGGATCTGGACTTCGCCTATATGATGTGATATATGTCTGATTTCCCACAAACTGGAAGATATGCAAGCGAAAAGCAATAAGTTGGCAGGAGAAGCATCAAAGATAGGACTTCAGGTGAACATAGAGAAAACAGAGGTGATGAAGATTCCTGGCCAACACCACCAACAGCAACAACAACAACAGACAACAATAAGCATAAATGGGAGGAACCTGAAAGAAACAACCTCTTTCACTTACCTACCTGGGAAGCATCATTTCAACTACAAGCGGATGGAACTGACGAGGATATCAAAGCAAGAATCGGAAAAGCAAGACAAGCTTTCACTACTCCCAAGTCTGTGTGGAGGTCAACAGGACACAGCACTCATCATCCAAAATAAGATCCGGATTTTCAACTCCTATGTGAAGTCAGTGCTACTTACTACATGGATCAGAGACTTGGCCAGCGCGTCATAAAGAGCATCTCAAACAAACTACAGACCTTCATTCACAGTTGTCTTCGCTCAATACTCAAGATCAGATGGCCGGCCAGAAAAGATCAGCAACAGAGATCTCTGGCAATGAGTGAACCAACCCAGCAGGAACCGATTGTGAAACAAATAGGCAGGAGGAAATGGAGATTGATTGGCTGGCCATACTCTGAGGAACCATCAAGTGACATCACTCGACAAGCCATTGCTCGAGTGGAACCTGAAAGGGAAGCGGCGAGTTGGTCGTCAGTGCAAGGGTGACTTGGAGGAGGTCATGTGAAGAGGAGATGAAAACGTGTGGGCAGACATGGAGCCAGGTGAAGACTCTAACAGAGAACCGGACGCAATGGAGACGCACGGCTGAAGCCCTATGTTCCTGTAGGACTTAATATTATAATCCAAAATATAATGTAACAGGGTGATGCGGAGGTAGGGATCGAATCGACTGAAAATACGTGTAGTAGAAATGTTTCACCACCTATCCACCTGGACGTCTGGAAAATTCTGCTACCTCTACGACGAGGAATGGGAGAAAATAAAGAAAACTATAAAACGAAAGTTTCGAAGTTATGTAATCGCCATTGAGATGATTATGAGCAATAATAAATTGTGTTTAAAACGTCATCCAGTAAATAACTCAGTTTCACTATAGTGATATGTCCAATGTGGCTTACTGACTGGACCGAATCAAGGATGGTGGGAGATTGTAGTGCATACAGGTGTTTAGTCATCTCCTACTCCCCCGCTCCTCCCAAGTACAAATTTCATGTTCTCATCGAAAAACTAGACTGACTGGGTTACAACATAGAATTTTCCACAGAAGCTCAACAGCTCAATTTGTCACATCCCATGTAGCGCAGAAATGCAGAGAAACGGTTTTTTTCCTTTACGTTCCCCAGTGGAACATAGGGCTTCTAGCTAGTGACTTGAAGTTTCTGTAGCGGTGTTTATTTTACAGGATGGGGTTACTAGCCTCATGCCCAACTTTTCCTCTTCATCAGCATTATTTCTGCCTTAGCAAGGTAAAGGAGTGCGTCGGCCGGGGATCGAACCCCGGACCATGTGCATAGTCGGCGAGAGTCCTAACCACTGTGCCACCGACGCACGAGAAACGATAATGGATAGAAATGTACGTGGGGGAATAGTAGCATGGAAGGATCGGAGGATTTAAAAGATAAGTCAGATCACAAAGAATGAACGTATCTGCACCGATGAAAACGGATTTAGGCCATATTACTAACAGTCTCCAGCGCTTACGTATTAGCATCTCCAGGACCCCCGACAAGGTAGTATACGCCTCCCCTTGTGTCAAAGACTTCATGGTTTGGTAGCAATTTTTGGTTTGACTCTCTCTCTCTCACCTTTAACTCTTTTCCAACCTTATACCTATAATTCACTCTCAGTCATACACATGGTGCACATAGTAATGCATAGCCGGAGCTCTCACGGGACAGGTAGATATTTCAGAAAGGGAGGGATAGTCTTTCACTGATGATTTGTAGCGAAATAGTTTTTTCCTTTATTGGCTGAATATTGATACTTGTTATTTATTTAAAGTCACTTCTTGAAAGTATCCGTCAGTTAGTCTAGATGAAATTGTCTCAGACGATCATTGTTGCGAATCAGAAGGTTCGTTTGGAATTCGCCAACTAATGCACTCTCTGGCGAAGACATGGTATCCCTCTGGCTATCGATCATATGACGTGTGTGTACTGAGCATCAGTTTGCTCCTCTCTTCCTTTATGGCCGTGAGACATGGTGGCCATTGAAAGTGGAAGACATAAAAACGCTAGCAATCTAGTTGTCTTTGATCATAGGTGTCTGTGTTCTATCACCCGTAACCGGTGGTGTACCTGGATGAGTAATATTGAGTCGATTAGTCACCGAGTGTTGGGTAAGCAAGGAAAATCTATTCAAATGGCGAGGACACTTGTGTTACGCATGAGAAGTCCATCGCCTTTATCCGACAACTGGCAATGTTAGCTGACATAGGATGGATCAGGTTGGAAAAGAGCTATCACGGTGGTCATTAGTCAATGAAATCCATAACAGCGTGACTGGTTGGGATTCTTGGGATTGGTGGTTCCGCTGATTTCACTGCTAGTCACGACCTACCAAAATTACTTCAAGTTTATGCCCTCAGACATCATCGTTGAAGTATCCACACGAAATGTTGACTTGTCGACAGAGAAGCCGGACACTTCGGGGGGATCCAAATTGAATTCAATAATTGTTAGAGGAAGAATTCTTTTTTTCGACAAGTAACTCGAAGGAATTTTAAATTAATTTTGCCTTCCCCTTTTTCATAGTTTGGAGACTTTCAGCGAAAGTAGGATTGCGTTGAGGATGTGTTTGCTTTGGCCATTGAGAGCAGAAGACGTGAAAAGATTAGCTGTCTTCGATCATAGGTGTCTGCGTTCTATCTCCCGCGTGAAGTGGTATAATAAGGTGAGCAATATTGAGCTTAGGCGTCGAGTGCTAGGTTGGTGTGAGGGGAAATCAGTCGACGAGGCTGTGAAATTGCATCGACTGGGATGGTTAGGACATGTGTTACGCATGCTAGCCTAGTCATCGCCTTCCTCGACGGGCAATGTTAGCTGACATAGGGTCAGGCTGGAAAAGAGCTAGCGGCGGTCAAACGAAAACATGGCACCAGTCAATGAAATCCACAACAGTTAGACTAAGCCACGAAGGAAGATGCAGACTTCCTGGTTGGGGTCCTCGGGACGATAACAACCAGTGGTTGGAAGCAATTGGTGACATGGCTCAAAATCGTTCTCAATGGATCGCGCAGATGCATCCAATCGTTGTGACTTATGATTTCCAATTAAACTGTTTTGTTCTTCGGTATTACTATACCTTTGTGTCACACCTCTGTTTACTGTCTATATTATGCATTTCTTCTACTTTCTTCTCTTGCTTTGTGTGCTACAAGGAGGGAGTGTGGCGACTTGAACTGTCGCACATCGGTACAAATTTCTATGTCGAAAACCGATCGACCGACCGATGTGTTTGCCTATGTGTGTGTGTTTGTGTATATTGGTTCCTGTTTTGAAAGCTACTCAATATAATTATGTGAAGAAGACAAGAAAGAAATATTTTTCATATCTCTTAACAATTTCAATAATAATAATTATAATTATAATAATAATAATCTATTGATGATTGTCTTCTTTTCACATTACAGATTCCTGTAAGATCGCATAATTGTTCGCATCTTCAATGTTTCGATTTAAGTTCCTATCTAACAATGAATCTGCGTCGACCTCGTTGGACATGTCCAATATGTAGTACACATTCACCATTTCGTGATTTAAGAGTTGATGAGTAAGTGAAATGCTTTTTTAAAAAAAATTAACGATCAATGTGATCAATGAATGAGGAAGTTTTTTTTAAAATTCCTTCACGTTCCCCAGTGGAACATAGGGCTTCAAGCTAGTGGCTTGAAGTTTCTGCAGCAGTGCTTATTTTACAGGATGGGGTTGCTAGCCTCATGCATAACTTTTCCTCTTCACCAGCGTTATTTCTGGCTTAGCGAGATAAAGGAGTGCGTCGGCCAGGGATTGAACCCCGGACCATGTACATGGTCGGTGAGCGTCCTAACCACTATGCCACCGACGCACGAATGAGGAAGTAGAATGTTGTTATTGTTGTTGTTGTATTGCTGTAAAATTGTAGATAAAATCTACAATGTGATCACTGAATAAAATGAAATGACACACTGGTTTGTGTGATTATTATTGGCCACGCATTCATAGCCTCTATCAACCAGATTAAGTCCTGTCCACTTTGCTTTCACATGAGGTGGAAATATTCCTCACAAAAGTGAAAGGCTGGCGGATATGCGGGTCTTCTACTTAGGTATTTTCTCGACATTCCTTTTACAGTCAAGCATCGCCAGAGTTACCTCTCGGTTGACAATGGTATAGTGTAGGGTAAGCAATACTGAGGTTAGGTATCGGTCGAGTGCTAGGTAGGTTGAGGAGGGTGGAAAATCAGTCGACGAGGCTGTGAAGCTACATCGACTGAGATGATTAGGATATGTGTTACGCATGCCTAGCCATCGCCTTCCTGGACAACGGGCAATGTTAGCTGACTGAAATAGGATGGATCATCAGGTTGGAAAAGAGTTAGCTAGTGGTGATCAACCGAAAACATGACTTTTTCATTCAATGGAATCCGATACAGTTAGTTTAAGCCGGCCGCGTAGGGAGATGTAGACTTCCTGACTGGTTGGAGTCCTCAGGATGGTAAGAACCAATGAAGGCTGGAGACTTATAATACCCAATAAAACTATATTGTTCTTCCATATTACTATTCCTTTTGCTTCATATCTCTGTTTACTGTCGCTATTTTTCATTCCCTTTTACTTCCTTCTCTTGCTTTGTGTGCTACAAGTAGGGAGTGTGGTGACTTGAACTGCTGCAGATCTGTGCAAAGTTCTATGTTGAAAACAGACAGAGACAGACAGACTTTTCTGCTTAGGGGAGCTGGAAAACCCTGATTCCTAACTTATGGTGTACATGAGCTCCGAAATCCGAACAGGTCGAATAGTGTATTGGACCTCAAGTCACTCACCGGCTAGGAAGGAGGGAGGTGGCCTCTTAAGATGATCACTTGTTTTGACCTTAACTCTGCAGTCCTCTATAGCTTCCCCCACAATTGCTCATAAGATCTTACGTTTGCGTACTGTCTCCTCTATGTCACTCTGGACTCCTGACTCGCCTTCCCCTGTCTGAGTTCCACTCGAGTAGTGGCCTGGTGCGCGATGTCATTTGACGGTCTCCTCAGTGTGTGCCCAACGAAGGGGGCAGCTGTTTGTTGATAAAAGTCTGTTGGACATACTTTTCTTGATTCGTCAGGTTTCTGACCCATCTGAAGGGACTGAATAACTTAACATTGGTGATGAAAATCCAAAGTTCGTTCTTTATGCTGGCTGATTTCAGAGTGGCTAAAGATTGCCTTGACTTTTCTATTCTGGCTCTGACATCTTCATCCGTTCTGTCATCTGTAGTTGAAACCTTGCATCTTAGTTAATTGAAGAAAGCAAATCTCTTTTAAATTTCTCCCGTTGATAATGATTATTGTTGGTTGTTGTCGTCGATGTTGGAGATCGGTTATCGTCATCACCACTGTCTTCTTTGTATTCACCTGTAGTTTTGAGTTTGCTGTCAGCTTTGTCTACCAGTGTGTGTGTTGCTGGACCTGTAAGTCTTTGAGCTTGTGTGACATAAGGCATAAAATCATGCGTTACCACAGGATATGCATGTAAGTTTGCATACACACTGTTTGGAGTTAGCATTGTTGCCTAGAAGCGTCGACGGCACAGCGGTAGAATGCTCGGCAACCACACCCCATGTGGTCAGGGATTCGATCCTCTGCCACTGACGCACTCTTTGCTACCTCACTAAACCAGTGATAAGACTGGTAAGGAGGAGGGAAGGTTAAGCATGAGGTTGGCTAGCAACCCCATCTCGTAAAACTAAACACCACTGCTACCGGAACTTCAAAGTTCTAGCTTCAAGGAGCCCTGATGTTTCACTAGGAACGTAAAGGAATAAAATAAATGATAAATAAAATTGGTGTACAGTCGTATCCTCCCCATCCACCAGTTGTACGACAATGCTGCATGCCAAGTAATGCACAATGGGAAACTCACGGAATCCTTCGAAGAAGTGAAGACGGGAGTAAGACAAGGCTGGCTGGCTGCCTACTATCTCCTATGATTCTCCTGATTGTGGAAGACTGGATAATGCGACAAACCAGCGACAGGCAACGAGAAGACAGGCATAAAATGGACTCACACAAAAAAATTTGAGGATCTGAATTTCGCCGATGATATATGTCTGATTTGCAACAAACTGGAAGATATGCAAGTGAAAAGCAACAAGTTGACAGAGAAGATAGGCAGGCCTTCAGGTGAACATAGAGAAAACAAAGGTGATGAAGGTTCATTGCCAACAGCAGACAACAGAAAACAATCAGCATACATGGGAGAAATCAGAAAGAAGCAACCTCCGTCACCTACCTACCTACCTACCTGGAAAGCATCGTTTCAAGTGGAAGTGATGAGGATATCAAAGCGAGGATCTGGAAAGCAAGGCAAGCTTCCATTTCTCTCAGGTCTGTGTGGAGATCAACACCACTACTCAGCTACTATATGGATCAGAGAGTTGGCACCCTGCCGCGTCACGAAGACCACTTCGAACAGACTACACACCTTCATCAACAGCTGTCTTCGCTCAATACTACTCAGGATCAAATGGCCGGCCAGAAAAGATCAGCAACAGGGATCTCTGGCAATGAACGAATCAACCCAGCGGGAACCGAATGTGCAACAAATATGCATGAATAAATGGAGGTGGATTGGCCATACTCTGAGAAAACAAACCATCAAGTGAGTGACATCACTCGAGTTGAATTCTACCGAATGGGAAGTGGCGAGTCGGTGGTCAGTACGAGGGTGACACGGAGGAGTTGATGTGAAGAGGAGATGAAAGCATGTGGGTGGCAGACGTCGAGCCAGGTGAAAACGTTGGCAGAGAATCGAAGACAATGGAAACGTTTGGCTGAAGCCCTATATTCCTCTAGGAACTAATGAAAACAATAATAATAATAATAATAATACAGTCGTATTCGTTTCTATCACTTAAATTCTGAAGAGTATTCATTCAACCCTTTCAAAAAAAGTCTCATTTTATTTATATTTTGATTTTACACTTGATCATGTAAAAATATTTGAAAAAAAGAAAAAAACCCCAACAAACATTTAAAACATTTTTTTAAATACACTTTCTCCCCTTTTTTGTATTACTTTCTATTTTTAGATTATTTATGAGTATTATTCAAGATCCACGTAGTGCTAATCTTGAATTTGTTCATGTGGATTCAAATGGTGATTGGCATTTAAACAGTTTCCGTAGTACCAATGCTGCTCCTACTGCTAGTGCTACTGCTACTGCTACTGTTCCTACTACCAATGATTCACACACTGACGACAAATGTCCACCAGCTACACAAATCAAGTCTACCGACGATGATGCCGCATCAAATAATAATCAAGGAGATAATAATGATAGTGGTTTGATAGAAACTGATAGTGTTGTCAAGGAGGATAAAACAGAAAGCGGCGGTGGAGGTGATGGAGAAAGCGGCAATTCCCCTGAAAAAAGTCAAAGCATAATGAATGAATCCAAGGAAACGGTGACATCTGTTGACAGTCTTGAAGCTACTACTAATACTACTGCGACTACGACGACGACGACTTCTCCTACTGCCACTACCACTAGCACTACTGGGGTAAGAGAAAATCGTCATTCAGAGGAACCTATAGTGATTATATTAAGCGATGATGACGATGATGTTGTTAATGAGAATGAAGGTGCCGGTGGCGAAAAGAATGAAGAAGGTCATCCATCCAGCACTCATAGTGAATTAAGAAATGATAATGAAAATAGGAATTCTACTGATAAATTAAAGAGTCCTGTACGTAATCACTCTGTACCACATACCGATGAAAAGGTCAATGGGTAAGTTTAAGAACTATAGAATTATGATTATTTATTTATTTATTTATATGATTTTATTCCTTTACATTCCTAGTGGAACATGGGGCTCCTGGAGGCTAGAACTTTGAAGTTCCAGTAGCAGTGGGATTGGGATGCTAGCCAGTCTCATTCCCAACCTTCCCTTCTCTTTATCAGTCTTACCACTGGTTTAGCGAGGTAGTAAGGAGTGCGTCAGTGGCCGGGGATAGAACTTCGAGCCTCGTGGGGTGTGGTCGGAGAGCATTCTACCAGTGTGCCACTGACGGTCGGTCAATAATTGTCCAGTGGTAGTACAATGCTCGCCAGTCACACTTGACGTGGTCCGAAGTTCGATTTCCCAACTGTCGGCACACCAGCCAGTAATAAGTCCGGTAAAGAGGGAAAGTTGTGTTGGTGTGAGGCTAGCTAGGCAACCTCATCGCGTGAAGACTGTGTAACTGGAGGACACAAGGGACTTGATAATGGAACTTGTTTACTTATACATTTCTAACCACATTTTAGGTTGACTAGGTCAGCAGATAACAAGCTGTTCTGATTGGTTGTTGACTTTCTGTGAAGGTTAAATTAAACCTTTTTGATGAACAGTTGTCCAATGAGAGTTAACTACTGACTTTAAATGCTGTTTTCAATTTTGGCTGCTACTTCCTATCAATCTGTATCTATATACTACTGATAAATCTTGTCAGTAGTACAAGCCACAACAGTAATAATACCACCGCTACTGGTTTGTCAATGTTCAATCTTGAAGCCCCTCTGTTCCACTGAGGGCGCAAAGAAATGAAATAATCGTATAAAGTTACACGTAATGTAATTTCATTGTAAATTATGGGGATACATAGCTAACTGGATTGCATGAACTTAGAGAATAGCGACCATGAGGTACAAAAGCATACTAGTCACTTTGAACACATCATTCGTTAGATTACAGAATCTGTCGTGTATTATTCACACAAAAAGGCCGTTTATTTAAGAAAAGCATTAACATGACAATAATAATAATAGTGAAGCACGTTAAAGACGATATTTCTACCCTGACACGTCACTTCCCAATTTACAGTGAGGCGTATCAGTTTTCAAGTTTCATAATTGTCAAAACGAAACATTCCTCCCATTTATTTAATCATATGAAAAACACGGATAATAATAAAATATCCCAACCCTAATCCTTCGCCTCACCCTAAGTGTCATCAACCTTTTGTTCAAACAGTACTTAAAAAAATCAGATTAGAATGAAATTGCACGTCAATTTGTTAATAGCGTTCATATTGGCGCTGTAATAAATCACAGATTCTGTAATCCAATGAGTAACGTGCGTTCAAGGTCACTGGTGTGTTCGCACTCCGTAGTCGGTATTCTTTAGGTTGACCTAAGCAGCGCTTTTGATATATGTGTGTGCAAGAGACGAGAATGCCAGTGTTGTTGTTGTTTATGATGGTGGGCATATTTAAAAGTGGTGTTAAAATCCATAATGATGACTACACACCCAGTGAGGTGCCGTCATTATCTCCAGTTTTCTATTTAAAAAAAGAAACGATAAATGTTTGATGAAGATGCATCCCCACAGGTTCCCAGCAAATTAGATTAGTCTACTCAGAGGGAGATATAATACTGGTGAGTACTGGCGGTATTGCAGTAGTGGCCTCATAAATGTTCTTCTACCGTCGAGGTTGGATAGACTTCGGCCTTCCTCTTGAAATGCTCTCATTCAGCCATATGTTCATACATAACCTCGCCTAATTTAGTCTTACTCACAGCTCTCAGGCAACACGGAGGGGGGGGGGCGTGGTTCATCACAAAAGTGAAAGGGCGATTGTGAATGTCTGGAGCTTACAACTCTCTGACGATGCTTGGCTGTGAAGAGAAGGAAGGCCGAGAAAATACATTGCACTGATTAAGGCACTCTACTCCTACTCATGCAGCCAGGTGAGGGCTTATGGCGAGTTGTCATCTGAAGTGGTGACGACTAGTGGTGTCCGTCAAGGATGCCCATTATCCCCATTCCTATTCAACTTCATCATAGACGTACTAATGGACTTAACCCTAACACACTTCAGCGACTCAGGGATTGACTTGCTACCAGGGAATAATCTCGTCGACTTAGAATATGCGGACGATATAGTCCTTCTAGGCGAGGACGCTAACAAAATCCAGCAGAGTCTACTGAACACCTTGAGCAACAATCTTCGTATGTTTGGCATGCGATTCGCCCCTGTAAAATGTAAGATGATGCTGCAGGATTGGACTTCACCGACCCCTAGATTAGAAATAGGAAGTGAAGTGGTAGAGCATGTTGACCACTTCACTTACTTGGGAAGTACCATCAGCCTCAACGAGTTGATCTCCGACGAAATCTCAGTACGAATAAAGATGGCTAGGTTCGCATATGCCAGTTTACGCCGTCCCTGGCGTAGAAGTGATATCCGACTATCGAGCGAAGGGTGTGTGTACTGCTCAACAGTCTGCTCCGTCCTCCTTTATGGCTGTGAGACCTGGCCATTGAGAGCGGAAGACATGAAAAGATTAGCTGTCTTCGATCATAGGTGTCTGCGTTCTATCTCCAGTGTGAAGTGGTATAATAAGGTGAGCAATATTAAGGTAAGGCATCGGTCGAGTTCTAGGTAAGGAGGGGAAATCAATCGACGAGGCTGTGAAGTTACATCGACTGAGATGGTTGGGATATGTGTTACGCATGCTAGCCTAGTCATCGTCTAACTCGACGGGTCAGAGTGGAAAAGAACTAGCGGCGGTCAAACCAAAACATGGCACCAGTCAATGAAATCCACAACAGTTAGTCTAAGCCACGTAGGAAGGTGTAGACTTCCTAACTGGTTGGTTCGGGTCCTCGGGACGGTAAAAACCAATGGTTGGAAAAAATTGGTGATATTGCTCAAAATCGTTCTCAATGGCCGGCGCAGATGCATCCACTCCTTGTGACTTATGATTTCCAATTAAACTGTTTTGTTCTTCGTTATAACTATTCCTTTGTCTCACACCTCTGTTTACTGTCTGTATCATACATTTCTTCTACTTTCTTCTCTCGCTTTGTGTGCTACATGGAGGGAGTGTGGCGACTTGAACTGCCGCACATCGGTGCAAAGTTCTATGTCGAAAGCCGACCGACCGGAGCTTACAACCGAACTGGGTAGCGAGTCGGTCTCCAGAATCTTAACAGATCTAATGGTTTATGAACCTGTTTTGGCCACCGGAGATCTTGAGAACGTAGCTCCCGATACTGTTCCAGTGCCTTGTAGACCAGACTTCAAATCAAAGGCTCCGGAGGGGGGGGAGACGGTCTTGAGCGTCCAATTGGCAGTATCTCAAACATCTCACAGACTATGGGATTTCGCGTGACGCATCTCTTGGTTCTTATAATGTACCAAGTTTGTGTTTCTTAATAATAATAATAATTCGATTATTCGATTAAACATGAACTAGTGTCGTGCATCTAGTCCTTTGTTTGCTGCAGACTGAATTCTCTGAGCCAAGCTCGGAATATGGCCACCATGCTACATATCTCTCACCATCACGGTGCACGAAACCTATGTCCAAGGCTTCCTTTTGATTGCCTCCAACCATCTGATAATAGCAACAGTTCAAAATGCACCGTGATGGTGAACCATCTAGCAAGGTGGCCATATTCCAAACTTGACTGATAGAATTCAGGCTGCAACAAAACAAAGAACTAGACGGGTGAAACTATTTAGTGTCCAATCAAAGTATCTCATACTGTGTTACAGGAGGTCAGTGACGAGCTCGAATAGCTGAGTGGTAACGTCTCTGGCTGCAGTACTGGGTGAGACCCGGTTCGGATCTCAGAAGGGACATGAGTTCCTTGAAGACGGGAGATACGCCTTGTTGACTGGTGAGTGCCAACAAGGAGTGGATGCATCTGCGCCATTGAGAACGATTTTGAGCAATATCACCAATTTTTTCCAACCATTGGTTTTTACCGTCCCGAGGACCCGAACCAACCAGTTAGGAAGTCTACACCTTCCTACGTGGCTTAGACTAACTGTTGTGGATTTCATTGACTGGTGCCATGTTTTCGTTTGACCGCCGCTAGCTCTTTTCCAGCCTGGCCCTATATCAGCTAACATTACCCGTTGTCGAGGAAGGCGATGACTAGGCTAGCATGCGTAACACATATCCTAACCATCTCAATCGGTGTACCTTCACAGCCTCGTCGATGGATTTCCCCTCCTTACCTAGAACTCGACCGATGCCTTACCTTAATATTGCTCACCTTATCATACCACTTCACACTGGAGATAGAACGCAGGCACCTATGATCGAATACAGCTAATCTTTTTATATCTTCCACTCTCAATGGAAGCCTAAATAGTTACCTGGTGTTGTTGTCTTTCGCCGATGCCTTTTCTATCTCTTTCGCTTTTGTCGCCCACCACTGTTTACAGTCGTTTTGGAGGCTTCTTGTTAATTTGAGTTTGAGTAGCTTTCGCTCCTCATCATAATCGGAGCTCGCCAGAATCAGTCTTCTTGCGTCAATCACTTCGGATGAGGTGATGGAAGTCCACTGGCTCTTACTAACTTTTGGTTTCAGGTCATTAACAGCTTTTACACCTGTGTCTACAGCTAACTGTATGTCGTGCCAGGCTTCATCAGGAGGAGTCAGCCTGCTTTCCATCTCAAATACTTGTTTAAGTATTTCTTCGTTACCTTACCCCCCCGTCCTGTCTGTCTGTCAGTCTTCGACATATAACTTTGAACCGATGTGCGGCAGTTCAAGTCGCCACACTCCCTCCATGTAGCACACAAAGCGAGAGAAGAAAGTAGAAGAAATGTATGATACAGACAGTAAACAGAGGTGTGAGACAAAGGAATAGTTATAACGAAGAACAAAACAGTTTAATTGGAAATCATAAGTCACAAGGAGTGGATGCATCTGCGCCGGCCATTGAGAACGATTTTGAGCAATATCACCAATTTTTTCCAACCATTGGTTTTTACCGTCCCGAGGACCCGAACCAACCAGTTAGGAAGTCTACACCTTCCTACGTGGCTTAGACTAACTGTTGTGGATTTCATTGACTGGTGCCATGTTTTGGTTTGACCGCCGCTAGTTCTTTTCCACTCTGACCCGTCGAGTTAGACGATGACTAGGCTAGCATGCGTAACACATATCCCAACCATCTCAGTCGATGTAACTTCACAGCCTCGTCGATTGATTTCCCCTCCTTACCTAGAACTCGACCGATGCCTTACCTTAATATTGCTCACCTTATTATACCACTTCACACTGGAGATAGAACGCAGACACCTATGATCGAAGACAGCTAATCTTTTCATGTCTTCCACTCTCAATGGCCAGGTCTCACAGCCATAAAAGATGACAGAACGGACTGATGAGCAGTGCACCCCCCCTTTGGTCGATAGCCAGATATCACGTCTACGCCAGAGACGGCGTAAACTGGCATATGCGAAGCTAGCCCTCTGTATCCCTGTCTAGATTTTGTCAGAGACTAACCAGTTGGGGTTGATGGTACTCCCCCCGTCCTTATGATTATCACAGGAGGACTTGTCTGCTTTCTTGTATAACTGGGATGATCAATGAATTACTCCACCACCACTCCTTAATAACACTTTTTTTCCTTTTCCCCTTCTTCTTCCAGAATTACACCAATTCCTCTTTCAAAATATACAACCTTTGAAATTGATTTAACCAATGATGACTCTTCAGACTCATCACTTAATGATGATACACCTAGTAGAATATTAGATAAAGTAAGATCATTTAATAAACAACATCAACAACAACAACAACATCAGCATCATCGTCAGCAGCAGCAGCAGCGTAATCGTCATCCTCGTCATCCTTATACTATTGTACCACTAGCACCACGACCGTCACAACCGCCACAACCTCAACAACAATTAGTAATCAATAATAGTGGAGAAGTTGGCCAACAACCATTATTCAATTCAACAACAACAACACCATCATCATCCTCGTCATCATCATCAACATCGACATCAACATCCTCTTCAGAGTCATCTATGCGTACACCTGATCAACAACAACAACACCAACAGCACCATCCTCTTCATCAACAATTAAGTCTTTGTACTAAAGGTGATCCGTTGATTGTCATTAGTCCACTACCGGCAATGAGTGTTGCCAGTGCAATATCCGGTTCACTTAGAATCGATGATGAAATTGATATGCATTTAATGAATCAATATAATTCCTTGAGAAATGAACTTTCTAAAGATGCCAATAAACAATTATCACTTTTAAACGATAATAACAGTAATAGTACTATTATTACTATTACTACAACTAGTACTAATAGTAATACTAATACTACTATTACTACTACAAATGACAGTGGTAGTAGTACTGGTGCTGGTGCTAGTACTGGAGCTGGTAATTGGTCTATGCTGTCTATGCCGTCGTTTACTACAACAAATGATGCTTTGCTCAATTCACTGAATCCTGAATCGGAATTTTATAAACATTTATTAGAAGTGACTGCAGATCGAGTGAATCAAACATTACTTAAGCATAATTCATCAATGGATAACAATACTACTAATACTACTAATAGTAGTAGTGGTGCAAATAAACGAAAAAGTAATTTATCATCAAGTAGTTACAGTAAACGAATTGACAATCGAACAAAATCCACTTCTAAGAAGATTGTTTTATTGGATTCTGATGGTGAGTCCTAGTGTCTCTCCCTCTGTATTTGTGTGGGTGGGTGGGTGTATTCGGCTTTTGTGTGTTTCTTTTTTTTGTTCTAGTGGGAGGGAAGTCGTGACCAGTAGAGTGCAGCAGGTTGGGTGTGAGTATAAACGGTGGCCGAAGACATTGGTCCAGGAGCTCGCTAGCCTTGTAACCAGAAGGTCCTGCTGAAGAGTCCCAAACTAGGATGAAACAACCGTCCATTACTTCCGGCCGGTTCTCTAACCAATGTCAGCTCATGATGAAATCCTGTAACGAACCAACTTTATTTTGAGAAATCAGGACTGAGCACTGGATATCTGTTTCCTCCTATTTTTGGGGCTGTTTAACAAACAGTGCACACCTACCTATGATCCTCTGGTCTGCCAGGGATAGAACCCCCTGTACCTTCAGGTTATAAGACTAGGCTTGTTGACTATGCAACTACTTGGGCTGGAATTCAATGAATCTTTGTATTTCAACTTTGTCAAGTTGTGATCGGTGGGGGATTCATTATGTCGAGGTGGTGGAGTAGATCCCCATCGAAGGCATTGGCTGTGGTTAGACTTATATAATTTAATAATTCCCATTGTAGAATTAAGAAAGCGGTATTCCGCGAAGAAACTCTTTTCAACAAATTTATTATCAAGCTGTACATTCATATATATATGGTTTTTAAGAAATTATATCCGGTGAGGGAATTAAATCAAAGGTGTGAATACATGAAATAATTATAGTAGTATGAAATGCAATTAAAATATTTGTGATTACAATCACAGTTAAATGTCATTTAGCAAAACAATTAATGTTATATATAGAATATTATATAGGGGGTACATAATTATATGATTAGTAGGCGAATATAAAATAATGTTGCATAATATGGTGTGAAATTTGATAAGATAGAATTCAATATTGTAAAAAAATAATAATCTTGGATTTAGAATGACAAGTGGGACAAGTGGAAACAATTCAGTGTGAGAATAATGCGTCAGTGGCGTGGCGGTTAGGGCGCTCACCGACCATGCATATGGTCCGGGGTTCGATCCCCTACCGACGCACACCTCATATCAATTATCAGCCTGCTAAATTAGGGCTACCGATATCACATGCTGAAAATTCCATACTTGTACCAAAAAATGTATGGAATCAAGCTATAATCAAAAATAATAATCGTGGTAATTATGGAAAGGTACATAGAATAACTAAATAAACAAAATAAATAAATAAATGTCTATCCCTCTACGGCCAAGGCAGAGGTTGGAGTTGTACATACTTCTTTTCTACACAAAATGTTGGCTTAAAGTCATGAATTGCCAAGGTCTCAGCTGTCTTTAGAAGTCTGTAAGGAAAAAAACGCGGCAAGTTAGGATGAATTCGGTAGATGATCTTGAAATCAAGGTTAGGTTTGGCAGAGTGACAGGAGTCGATCAGGTGTTCTAGAATAGAGCTCCGCACATACTTCTTTTTTCCTTTGTAAAACCACGCTGTAATATATTCCCGTATCCGTGTGGAAAGCGTCCTCTGACTACGGCCAATGTACCTTGCTCCACAACAGCAGGTGAACTGATAGATGGACATGGAAGCGACTAGACGGGGGAGCCTGTCTATTACAGAGGTGTGGACAGTTTGCAGCTGGTGAACGTTATCTGTATTTTTGCTACAAACAACGTCTTACACTGACTCCTTTAGAGAGATGGATTTTGAGCATATATGAAGCTTGATCACCTTTGAATTCCAAGTTCATGAATAATGGTTTTCTTTGGAACTGAGTCGATGACCAGTTTAGACTGTTTATCTTTCGTGTTACTGTCAATAAATCGGTTCGGGTAATCACTTTCTGTGAGCGTGGCTTTTAGTAAGTCAAGTTCTGAGTCAACGCAATCAGTGACTGGCCCTATTCAGGCAGTTAACCTGGGGTTCTAGTGGGAAGCCGTGACCAGTAGGGTACAGTAGGTTGAAGATGAGGCAGTAACTCATCTAAGAAAACATTGCGAAATGGTCGCGCTATGTCGTGAATTGGCAGAAGTTAGAATTCAAGGACCCTTGGATCGGGTCCCAGTGGCTCAATGGTCTACGAGCTCGCTAGCCTTGTAACCAGAAGGTCCTGGGTTCGAAACCTGCAGGTGGGCGCGTACTGATGCAGAGTCCCAAACTAGGATGAAACAGCTGTCCAGTACTCCCAGGTGATTTTCCAGTGGTTCTCTAACTGATGTCAGCTCATGATGAAATCCTCCATGCAATTAAACAAAATCCCTACCAAACCAATACTTGAAAAGAACTACATGAGTTGATAAATTTAAAAGTATCTATAGCTGACTTACGTCAGCCATTCTCTAGATTTGCCATGAAACAGTATGCTAGCAATAGACCCTAGTGGAGATTCCATTGTAATCCTATCTTCTGGTGTTTGTAAATGACGTCGTTGAAGGTCAATTGTACATTAAGGATGCATATCATTAGTAGTTCCGATGTTCAGCTTGTTTTTCGTCTATATGCTCACAAATACGACTAACAGTTTCCGTAATTGAAACGTTGGTAAATAGTGAGTCAAGAGAACGATGTACATCCTTGCTTAATGTGTAATTCACGTCCAACGACGTCATTTACAAACACAAAAATATGAGATTGCAATGGGAACTCCACTAGGATCTATTGCTACCAGACTGTTTCTTCACAAGTCTAGATAAAGAATGGCCCATTTAAGTCAATGATTGGTAATTTTCAATTGCATGCTAAACATATGTATGACACTTTTATTATTTGTGATGATATGGTAATCGTGATCTTAATCAAAGTTCAAAGTTCACGGGTCATTGAATTCCGACTCATGTTGTTGATTAGTCAACGAGCTTTAGTCGCGTAATCTGAAGGTACTGGGTCCGATCTCTTCTGGGGGTTCATAGGTGTACACTGATGAAGAGTCCTCAAATAATCGGGAGAACAACTGTCTAGTTGTACTCCTGTAACAACAGAAGACAAGGGCCAGGCAACAGATCGTTTATTTAGGAAATCAACAGATTTTTTATAGATTTTCATGTACATTATTATAGATTATTGTAAGCAAACAAACACAGTCTTCTTATTGGTGGTTATCTCTCACAGAAAGTTAACTTTGCATCTCTTTGTGGCCGTTTCTTGAAGTTCAGATTGTCTATCTGCAAATTGTATCCGCCTACGCAAACAAAGTCTGCTGTGATTGGTTGTTGAGTCGGTCTTTGTTCTTGTTCTTTTCTCATGACCAATATTGGGGACGTAAACATTGAGGTCAATTACACTGTCTACCAATTTTGGCCAGTGCAGACAGCTCTCACCACACTCTCAGGTTTCCGATGATGTCACTAACTGATGTTGGCTCGTGATGACAATCTCTAAGGATTTTTATATCCGAATAACGTTTGAATTTATTTTTATTTTTTTTGACGTTGTATCCCACAGTTATCCATGTTGACATTCTACTTCCTTTTGTATTTGTATTTTACAATTTAGATGAAATGATTGATGCTATATCGAATTCCATTCCAACTTCTCCGACTACTACTACTACTACACATCGTCGAAATGCTCATATAGTGAAAATGCAACAAGTCACCGCTCTAGCTCGTCTAATCCAAGAAAGATCACGTCGTATTAAACCTTCGACTGAAACATCGAAAAATCAAAACCAAAGCCAAAGTCTAGAGGCGTCGTCGACAGTCGACAATCATCATCATCATAATCATCCGTCAACAAGTTATACCACCAGCAGTAGCAATAGTAGTAGAACTGTACAAAAACACAATAATACCCTCCCTAGAGAACCTTCTCCGAGAAGAAGAACACGTCCACTTAGACAAAATCGTCGAAAAAGTCGAATTGAACCGATTGACAGTGAAAATTCCTCTTGTAGTAGTACTAGTGATGCTTGTTGTATTTCAGAAATGTCATGTATCTCAGAATCAGGAGAAGAAGGAGAAGATGATGAAGAAGAAGCAGCATCACGTGGATCTTCATTCAGTGGGTCACAGTTCACAGATGAAGATGATGACGATGATGATGATGATGATGATATATCGATTGAGTCTTTCTCATCCGACGATCGTTGGTCACCGTCACGCGAATATACTTCCAATAATAAGAAACAAACAAACAAACGGAAACCTACAAAAGTTAGACGATGAAAATGTTGTATTTCTCTATTATTGTTCAGATTTCTTAACATTGTTATTATTATTATTACCGGCTGTACTGGCATTTCTATTCTCCCTATAAAGTTTGTACAGTTTAATGTTGGTTTTGCCAATTTCTATTTGTATATTTGAAACATGATCTCTCATTTGATGAATGAATAAAATAAAATAAAATTGTGTTAATTAATATATGTGTGTGTAAAACTTGGACACTGCGGTGGTAGTAAGTGATTCCATATTAGTTTGTTTATTAGATGGATATATCACATAGTCAGTGAAACAGTATTATTGTTTCGCTGGATGGCAAAATTTCGAACACAATTCATCACTGTTCATAATCATAATTATATCGATTATAATCACACGACTTCGAAACTTGAGTTTTACAGTTTTCTTTGTTCTCTCCTATTTGTCGTCGCAGGCGTGTTAGTAGAATTTTCCAGATATCTGGCTGGACAGGTGTTGAATCATTCCTATTACACGTATTCGCTTCTTTTATCAATCACTCCCCCTACCCTTTGACGTTAGATTTTAAAACTGTCATCTTATCCCATCCCGTCCTATTGTATGTTTGTGTGTAGTTGCATGCAGTGATTGCTGTAGCTGAACCATTCTCTAGATTTCTTATTTTATTCGGGTTAATTAATCTAGATTTTTCTAGGTTTTCATGGTTGGTTAGTCTGACTGACTGCACCTGTTCTACTACTTTGATCTATTTATTTGACCTGACAGCCATTGCAGACAGGGTATTAGATAAACTAAATTGTTTTGTTTTAAAGGCTCCACAGGATTGATGTTTTAATCGACAAAGCTTGTTTCTAATTGAGTTTTTGGGTTTGAATGGCAGTTACTTTTATTCCTGCCTTGTTAAGAATTCGGAAACCTTACGCAGAATGCTTAACAACTCATTTAGAAACAAGCTTTGTCGGTTAAAGGATCAATCCTGTGAGGCCAATAAAACAAAACAATTTAGTTTATCCAATACACTGCCTACAATGATTGTCAGGTCAAATACATAGGTCGAAGTAGTAGAACAGGGGCAGTCAGTCAGACTAGCCGAGTATAAAAACCAAGCAGCTAAATCTAGATTAGTTGAACTGAAAAAGATAAGAAATCTAGAGAATAGTTCAGCAGCTATAGCACTCACTACATGCAATTACACACAACCATACAATAGGCTGGATGGGATAAGATGACAGTCTTAAAAGCTAATGTAACAGCAAGGTGGAGGGAGGGAGAGATTGATGACAGAAGCTTTGTTTATCCAATCAACTGCAAACACGTGCAACAGGAATGATTTAACACTTGTCCACCTGGATATCTGGAAAATTCTACTACCCCTATGACGGCAAATAGGAGAGGACAAAGAAAACTACAAAACTCAAGTTTCGAATTGATATGATTATGAACAATGAATAAATTTTGTTCGAAACTTTGTCATCCAGTGAATAATACTGTTTCAGTGTCTGTGTGATACATCTAGTAAACAAACTAATATAAAATTGTCTTTTTTCTCTTCTGAATTTATTGCGCAACGCTTTTCTTTTTAACATGAAAGTGTTTCGTTTTCTTAATTTGATGGATAGTGACTAGCAGTGGATTGCTTGCTGCCTGGATTGATGGGGAGGGGAAACTTGTCAGCTGGATGTGTGTTGTACTTGCATTCTCCTAATGATTATTTATATGATAATTGTTCCATTTTTTTGGTTCCGAGTGGATCATAGGGCTTCATCAAGACATCTTCACCTGATTGTATTTTCTGCCGTCCCCCCTCCGCTGGACCAATGATTTCTCATAATCTCTCATCTTACTCTCGCATGATCTCCTCCATGTTACCTTTGGACTGGGGCCCAACTCGTTGTTTCCCATTCGGGTTCCACCAGAGCTATGGTCTGGAGTGCGGCGTCACCAAACGGTCTCTTCAAAGAGTAAATAGATGCAAAATGTACATGGAATATGGTAGCCCAAAATGTTCGAACAGGCCGCCAAGGTCAAAGTGTGCCCGATCCATCTCCATTTACTTCTGCATGTTTATTCAACGGTAGGTCCTTGGTTCTTTTGTTCCCAGCCAGAGTTTCTTGTTGCTGATTCTTTCTGGCCCACTGGCCATATCTGATCCTCAATATGTGAAGCCAGTGAAGGAAGCTGTTGATAGAAGTCTGCCGTAGCGGGTTGGAAATGATTAAGATAACTGCTGGTTAATCTTGTTGGTACGGTTGCGTATCTTCATCGCTTATGTCTTCTCTATATCCACTTGAAGTCCTGTCTTCACTCCTACAACCTACAAACTCACTCAGGGACAAGCTCTGTAGGTTAAAGGACCCGGTGGACCTAATTAAACAAAATAATATAATTTACAAAATACCCTGCAATGACTGTGAAGTCAATTACATAGGTCAGACTAGTAGGTCGGGGATAATCAGATTGGCAGAACATAAGAATTTAGCTAAGGGAAGAATGGTTGACCCCGAGAAGATAAGTAATTTAGAAAAAAGCTCAGCAGTTGCACTTCACGCATTAACACACAACCACACAATAGGGTGGGAGAGGGTTAAAATTCTAAAAATTAATCTAGGTAGGTGGAGAGAGAGGTTGATTACTGAATCTTTGTTCATCGAATCTACACCCAACACATGCAATATAAATGAATCATCACTCATACCCGAGATATGGAAAATAATACTACCAATCAAATCAAGTGAAAAATAATGGAACTATATAAACGAATTTAGGAAGTCGTGTGATTACCTTGATATGATTATGAGCAATAAATTGTGCTCGAAACATCATCAGTAAACATTACTGTATAACAGTGTGAGACTTTATCAAAACAAAATTTACCCATAATGGAATTACACTCTACCACAGTGCACAAGTTTTATTCTTATATCGACTTGACATTTGTGTTGAACGGAATCCGAATCTTGTTCCTTATGATGAGTGAGTGATGCAGAAGATTTCCAAACTAATCTCAGGTTGATGAAAGCGTATCTTGTCTTTCCATTTCTGACTGGCCTTGACATCTTCATCCGCGCTGTTCGACTTCCTGTGGTTGAAATGATGCTTCCTAGATAAGTGAAGGTAGGAGGTGACCTCTGTTAGCAGTTGCACTTCACGCATTAACACACAACCACACAATAGGGTGGGATAGGGTTAAAATTCTAAAGAGTAACATAGGTAGGTGGAGAGAGAGGTTGGTCACGGAATCCTTGTTCATTGAGTCTACACACAACGCATGCAACAGAAATGACTCAATGCAAATACCAGAAATATGGAAGATATTATTACCTCCGGTCAAATCAGGAGAGAATAATAAATAATCGTAATATTCTATTTCAATTCAAGCACATCACAACATTCTAACAATTAACTTATTATGACTATAAAAACACTCGTCGTATTTCCCATCTAATTGCAATGGATGAATAACACTCGTACTATTATTTCTGAATGTACATTATCTCATATTGAATTTTATTCCAATATCTAATCGATTCCACACATGTATATAAATGAAGGAGAGAAGTTGTGTGAGTAACTTGATATGATTATGAGGAATAGTTTGTGCTCGGAACATCATCAGTTAATATAACTGTACAACACTGAGAGTTTATCAAAATAAAATCTTATCCATAATGGGGTTATGCTCTACCACAGTGCCCAAGTTTTATACTTATAGCCTGTCTTCACTGCTTATTCACAGCTAGTTTGTTGGTTTTCGCCTGCAAGTCTTGGAGTTTGTCCGCACGCGAAATTCCGATCTTTTAGAGTGTTCTTCTTATCATATTCCTTTCGTCTCGTTTTCCACGCATGACGTGCTGCATAATCCAGTCCACCACAGTTCGAAGTTTTCATCGGTGATAGTACGGAGCAGCCTTGTCGTACTCCTGTATTCACTTCGAATGCCTTACTGAGTTTTCCGTTGTAGATCACCTGACACAAGTCATTATTATTATATCTGTTGAATGAGTTTGATAAAAATTTGGGGTACTGCTCTCCAAAGTGCTAAAGTAATTTCCAAATTACTTCACAGTCAACGTGGTGAGGCTGAATTTTTTTCGATGTTCAATGAACCAACGGGAAAATCAAAATTGAATTCAAGACACAAATAGGAATGTTAATATCACCATTCAGTAGTACAGGTCTATTTTCTATTGATGGGTGATTCTTTGTGTTAAGATGTTTAACATCGGTTTTACGGTAGGGCGAGTGAACGCAGAGGTCCACTTTCAGATCCCGAATTTCCAATGATTCATATATGTTCGTATTCGAAGTCCTTTCGTACGATATCGAGGAACTCTGTGTAGCACTGTGAAGCAGTCATGCGGTCGGGGGGGGGATTGTCGTTGTCCAGAGTTGACAAGGTGTTGGAGGATAGAGCTGCTGGTTTTCTTCTTTCCTCCTCCAGAGTACCTTTACAAACATGACTTTGCATACAGTTGATGATATACTTAGCTGCACGCGAACAAGTGAACTGATAAATGCCTATTGTGAAGTGGTCAACAGTGGTGTCTTATCCTTAACGTTTGACTGGATTAACTGTCTGCTGAAGAATGTGACATGTAGGGTGGCTACTGCCCGACCGATAACTGCTACCTTGCCGTGGTGGTCGGGCTTGAATGCCGCAGTGACCCAACAAGGTAAACTGGCTGGGACTCATGTCCCTGCAGGTCCTACCATGTCAGGAAGGTTGTTTGGATAGTGGTTAGACTAAAAGCAGTTACCATGGGGTACATGGGCTCCAGAATTCAATCGGATCAAATCCCGTATGAACCCATATGGGTCACCGGCAACCATGGGAACGCAGCTCCTGACGCTGCCTTGCGGATTAGACTCCAAGTCAAAGGCTCGGGGGATGGTCCCTTAGGAAAACCACCTGCTCCGGTCTGGGCGCCCGGGCAGTATCTCAGCCCTCACACAATATTGTGTGGCGCATCTTTCTTGGTGCCATATTGTACCAAGTTTTTCTGCGTTTAAATAAATAAATAAAAGGATGGCTACTTGAAATGTCTTCTTTCGACATACATTTAGAAAGGCAGTTTCTAAGAATTTCTGCTTCGATATCACCTTTGAATTGAAATAAGATTGTTTTTAAGTGACGGGGAGCAATGGAGAAGATTTTTAGTTCAGGTGGCAGGAAATAGATGTAACTCGTGTGCGCAAAATTTAAGTGTTTTCAAGAAAGAGATCACGAATGATCAATTGGAGAATCAGTGGTCACTATAAATATTTCTGTTTTGTCCTGATGTGGGCTTCTTGAGAAGTAGTCATCCAGGAATGTTTAGGCTATAAGGCGCGTGAGTTGACCACCAGTCAATCACCCGGGAGATGAGATCCT